GATGAAGCACGTCAGTATACCTGCTGTAGTTGGGGAAGTCCACCCCCTGGCAGTCCCTCTTGACTTCCACAGCCTTGCCCGCAGTCAACTCCGCCATTCCAAGGTCTCCCCTGAGCTCACAGACTAGCGCAATATCGAGGAATCTGACCAAACGTTAGCAAACATGTCAAGAGCAAGAACCATTTTGACGACGACATGGCCTCCAAAACCCTGTAAGATTTTTGGAACCCCAGCCTGGGGTTAGTCACGCCGACTTCCACTTACACATTTGCCAGTCTGGCGGTATAGTCTCCTTCAGCCTTGTGTAAAGCCGCCAACTGCAACAGCTTCTTCACGAAGTCATCTCGCTGTGCGCCTTTTTCCAGGTTTGCACCACGGAAGAACCTCGTCTCACGCTCCAGCTCTTGTAACCGGAATCGTCGCTCTGCACTCTGGTATCCAAACGCTGTCTCGTCCTCTTCATCGTCGCTGCAGGCCAGGCAATCGCAGGTGAAGCCGTAGTGCTTGAGCTCGTATGCGCGGAGCGACTTGTCATGGATCATGTCGCAGTAAGATAGCGTGATCTCCTCGCCCGCGGCGATGGGATTCATGACGTGGATAGTTTCTTTGCCGATGGAGGCGTTCCATGAGAAGCAGGCGTTTGGGTTGCAAGAGTGGTTGAAGCGGGCGGCGTGCGGGAATACTGCGGCACCTGCATTCATCTCCATACAGTTTGTCTGGAAGATACTGATCAGACTTGGTGAGGGATCGGTTCGCGCTTTGTGTTGCTCCTTGATTCGAAGAACTTCTTGGGGTGGGACTGATTCGTGGATGCGCGACGGCCATTTATTCGGATCCTGGCCGTGTGAGGAGTGGAGTGTGTAGTAGAGTGTCTGTTGCGAGGGTGTGAGGCTATCGAAGGCTTTCTGGACATCGGAGAGCATGTAGTCGCCGACCGGGACGATCAGGAGGGGATCCTCCGCGAGGATGCGTGTACTGCGCGCGATGGGTTTGAGGCTGACGCACCCGTAGCCTTTCCCGGGAATGGCGCGTACTTCATAGTACTCGTTGCCTACTACAGCAGGTGTTAGTGTCGCGGTTCTCATGGGAATGCGCATGCCTAGTATAGCACGCGCGACCGTCTCGATGGGGCGCTGAAGCATTCCGACTTACCTGGCGATGTGGGGATCATGCCGAGTTCCATGGCGATGGTGTTGTGGGTGACGCTGGTTGAAGGTGCTGAGAGCTTGAGATAGGCAGGCACGACCCGCCTATGAGCGTTTGCTATCCGTGCGATGACGGAGCAAGCTTTTTGACTTACGCGACCTTCAGTCTATGCTGTCGCCTTCGCCTGCGCATACGTCATGGTGAGAGGTGAGAGTACGCTCCTTGTCTGCTTCGACATCCTGCAGCCGGTACATGAATATACCCCAACATCGCACTCAGTACGGAATATACAATATATCTGAGCCGGCTGCGTCTGACATCACACTTTCTCGTCTCGTCCACGCTATCTTCTTATCTTGAGCGACGCCGCGCATGTCACTACTGGGGATTCTTCAAAGTCACTCCGCTGACAGTAGGGTCTGCAGCACTGCGCTGTATATCCCATCAACATCGGCAAAGACGCATGGCACCGAGTACCTTCCGGAGTAGTCAAGACACGTTGACGGTCGAATATGACTGGCAAATTCCATTCTGACTACACTGCACACTCAACAGCTGAACATCGCTCGTGACACATCCCATCCATCCATCTCTCCCGTTTCACCCATTGCCGCTCGATGACTCTTCCCATCGGCCTCAGCCGTCTCACCCATAGATTCTCGGCGACTCACTTCTTCTCAACCTCCTCCGTGATCTCTACCGGCCCGCCATGGCCTGAGCATTTATCTGCAACCTAACAGTTGTTACCAGGTCAGCTCCTGTCTCGCACAGACGATTCTTCATAGCGGAAGAGCCCTTACCTGAATGATTTCCTTGCCCGACTTCGTCCAGTTTATACAAGCATGCCCCGGGCAGCGGGTCGGACATGTGATGATTGTACGTGAGCCTTCGCACTTGTGCTCGCAGCCGTTGAAGATGACTTTGTGGACTCGGCACATGATGGTTTTAGAGGAGCTGGGAGGATGGTGTGTCAGGCTTTGGATTTGATGTATGGTGTGCTTGGGGGTGTGTCGGATGTTGTGCTGCTGATAATGGATGGTTGGTATGATGGAGGTTGATGTTTTGCTGTATGTATAAATTTTATACCAAAGCAGCGAGGCTACTGAGAGTCTCATACGCTCATGCCGCTGTCACAAGGAGGTGTTTGTCGGACAGCTTCACGTATGGTTGATCGCTCGTTCACGACCATCGAAGGGTGAAGCATCAAACGTGGATATGTTGACATATTGTGATTATTCCTGAGAATTCACGATAACAACGCTCGGTTTGATCAAGTGGCGACCGCAGCGATACTGTATTCCTAAGTTTCACACTTATTCCTGGAGGATACGTGGACGTGTGACTGGAAGTATACGCTCCAACGAGACTCACGTATTCGGGAAGACCTTCATGTCAAATTGGGCTTTACTGTACTCTCCCTAATCACATATCCAAACATGCGGCTATCAGAACTCTACCATATCAAACAGCACGGCAATCACCACAGCAAAAACATTTCATACATCATTTATTCATTCATTGATACATTAATCAAACATGTCCTATGTCATCCGCCAAACAAATCGCGTTTCCATCTCGCTATCCTCCTGTCCTCGTCGTCGCTTCTCTCCTGAAGGAAAATGACGAAGGTCTCTCCTCAATCATCTGCAGGGGTTATTGCACTTCCCCGTGCTCCTTCTCGCCCTAAGAAAATTTGGCTCTGAGCACGCGAATCCGTTTCTCTTTCCCAGGCAGGATTTGACGAACTCGTTCTTGGAATGGCCACAGCCCATGTATAAAACTGGCTCGTAGGTGCACATGGTGATATTTTGTGGTTCGAGGAAGGGTTCTTTTGAGTACGGTGGTGTGCGGAGGTGGAAGTTGGCTTGCAGGAAACTTGTTAAGAAACTTGGTAGGCTTTTGAAACTGGTGTTGTGGTTTTGCTAGTATTGCTTGATGTAGTAGTGGTAGTGGTAGTGGTAGTTGTGGAGAAGCAAAAGAGCGTGGATTCGAGAGCTTATATACCGCATTCGAGTACTTCACACTGGAAGAGAGTGTGCTGGCGGTGTCTACGTATACGCCAGGGTTAGATTTGGTAATTTGTGTATGCAGTTCTTTTAATATGTCTGCTCCTTGACGTGGTTTTGGAAATAGACCCAGTGGAATCTCCCTCATGGAGTGTGGAAGGTTGATCGCGTCGGCCTCGATTTATAACGGTATCATGACTGGAATGGGGGTATTCTTGCGAGTCTTGTGTGCTTGGGTGGAACGCTGTCGTGACCGCTGGTGATGCGCGTGGCGGCTACGTAGGCCAAAATAGCTTCCAGTGACTTCAGCTTGTGCGTTGTAGCTGCCAGGCTGTAGTTTGAGGTAGGCGGACAGCTCAAGTTCGAGCTCTTCAACGCTTGATGGTCACATGGTTCCCAAGCGTCAGATTACCCAAAACCCAATCCTACGACAGTCAGAGATCCATTCCAACCCGAAGTGCGTGTCACAATGCAGCTCACCACAATGTCCTTCCGCCTCCCTCAGTAGCTCTATATTCTTGGGTTGCAAAATGGGTTCGCTGCTTCGCCTCTCATGTTCACCATGCCTGTTGAGATCTCTTTGAAAGCATTCGGTCGGAAGACTCAAATGCCTCGTCAACGATGAGAAGACGTGGGTGTCGTTGATCTTGAGGTGTGAACAGACAGGCCTGTCCCAGGCAGCGAGTGCCTCCTGGACGTCTTGCAGAGATAACAGAATGCCATCGGGGCGATACAAGAGATGGAAATGCGATACGGCTTTTGCGCGGTTGGAGCTCCGTTCTACTTCGATATAGGGAGGCATTACTCCCTGCTTTGCGTAACTGTGGCGGCTACATCGACATAGCCAAGGCCCATATTTACTATAGAGGCTACGCAGTTGAGTCATAGTGACGGACATGTGCTCGCATAAGTGGAATAGCGCTTCGGAAGGGATGGGCTGGATTTCCTCATAGGGCGGCGGGTCTTCGTCATTGGAGGAATCCGAAAGGGTTGATGTCATGCTCATCGGTCGAGGAACAAAAGCGTGCTGCGGTGCAGGGTTGCGTAGCTGCACTTGTCCATGGTTTTGCAAAGGCTGCCTTGGCTCCGTGCGCCACCACCGGCGGAACATTTCCATGGGGTTGCTGCTATTCATGTGCCGACAGGCTCTGGCAGAGTCGACGATAAAACAAAGGTCAGTGAGTCCCTAGCATATCTTTGTAGTGGGAAAATGATTAGCAAAGGTTAGCGTTCCATCTACCATGGTTCATGCTCGATGAGATCTGTGTGTAAGCTCGGATTCGAGCGACTGTGCTCGTAGCCAGGATGCGTATCATTCGCGATCATGTCCTTGTTCCGGTAGCACTTGCATTGCGGCGGCTGTGAGTGGCCAGGCTATCATGGATTGGAGCGGGACCATTGATCGAGTTCCAATTGAGAGCAATTTGCGCAAAACTGCTGGCATGGTGAAGCTCTAGATGTGCGAAAGACTGAACACGAACAGACAGGAAGAAACCGTGGTGTGCGACTGGGGTTGTCGTGTGATGGATGTTGAGGAGGTGAGAAGGTGCGACATCTGAATGGGCGGAAGGGAAGGGGCTGCGGAGACTAGTCTCTTCTGGGATGCGCTAGCCGTCATCTGGCCGATCATCTCCCAGGCACCGCACCCTTTACCTTCCAAGGTTCCCATCAGAGGAAGCGTGTTCGAAACCACATGCTGCAGGTGTTTAACGTGTTCCACATTCGCACCCACACAAGGAATAACCTGACAAGGGCTGCAGCCTACATCAGGATGAGAACATGCCAAGTAGGTGACCCAACGTCAAAGCAGGCTGCAATGCTGAATACCGCCACGCTCCTTCGCTCAGCTTAGTGCCTCTGCAACCAAGCCAAAACCTTCTCAGCAATCTCTAGACTGTTCTTCTCCATGAAGAACATGTGGCCATTGCCGTGAAGGCCTTCTTCTCCGAGCTTCATGTGCTCCACGTCCACACCTGCCTGCCGCATGTACTCTACAGTGCAATGATCGTAGACCGCATGGTAGCTCGCCTCGGACGTCACTGTTAGCACTGGTATCTGCGCCAAATTCACCAACTGCCTCGCCGGTTCATCCTGCATGATACATTCACTCGAATTGACGTCTCTTGCAGGAACAACAACAGTCTGGATGTACGTCGCATCGGGTCCCGCCGAAGGCTCGTATGCGACCTCGAGCTCCGTGATGCCGAAAGGTCGCGCAGGACCTGATCCAAAGATTCTTCCGATGAATGGTGGGCCCGCGGGCTCGAGTGCCACGATACTCTTGACTAGATGAGGGCGGAGGTCTCCGACTCGCCATCCATAGGCACCGGCTTGACTGTGCGCGATGATGTGCGCCTGGCCGCCGATCTTGTCGAGGAGAGCGGTGTACGCTTTGGCGTTCTCGGCTTCGGATATCAGATTGTCGGCTTGGTATTGAACTTGTGACGCATAGAAGGCGTCGAAGATCAGATCGCCTGCTTTGCCAGTTCCAGGCCATTGGGTGTGCGACTGTGCTTGCGGCCAGAGGCTATGCGATGACGTTGAAGTGAACAGTTCCTCGATGAGCGCAGTACTGGAGCTTTTCATCGTGCCTGTCTTCGGCAACCAGGGAGAACGACCGCGCGATGGCTGATCGCTCAGGTAGATCGTATAGCCGTGCGATAAGAAGAACGAAACCCAGCCTGGTCGACCATCAGGTGTCTCGAGAAAAGTTGCTCCAGTCTGACCAGTTCCGTGCATGAAGACGAGGGGAATCTCTTGGGTAGACTTTGCCGGGGTTAGCTTCTCGACATAGATCTGGTTGACCATGTACTGCGCGGTCGTATTTCCTACCTATACGATCAGCATTTACTGGGAGTTTAGAAAGAAAAGACTGGCTTGCCCTCTAAGAAGACTGCGTCCTGAAGTCATGTACGGCATTTGGTTTTGCAGTAAGTCAGAGTAAAATGCAGTGCACTCCTTCAGGGCATGGTACCTGTAGCTGGGAGGGAAGAGTTCAGTCGTCAATTTCGCGTGACTTACTGACAGGTTCTGATACTCTCCGCCAACGTAGAAGAACTCGCGTTGTGGTGGAAGCACCTCGCCAAAGCCATTGATCCAGCTATTTGCGCCGAGTAATGGCGCCAGCCATGAAGTCACGTTGCTAAAGAATAGCATCGCGAGGTCGGTAACCGACTGAAGGAGGTGCTGTTGGCTACGGAATAGCTGCAATTCTTGTAAAGAGTGAGAGCGATGGATGTATGTTCAGGTTGACGTGGTGGTGGCTTGGCGGCTTACATGCGCCTTCCACAACAGTCGTAGGCCTACCGAGTCTTTGGGTTCACTTCGCACCACTCAACATCATACCAAACATCACAAGAACATCCAGTAAGTTTGCGACGCGCAAAGAAACGGGTTTACTATCTACTTTCCAATTATGCAAACTAGCTCGGGCTACGACGTTGAAGGCGAGCGCGACGAGTGGGTGGTGGCGGCGGTGATGTAGGCGGCACGCGTGGTTTTGATGTTGACCCCGAAGGGTGATGCGCCTCCGAAGTGCATCTCGCTGCACTATTCCGCGCGAGAGGTGTCATTCTTGAGGATCTGAAATAGTCAGAGTCATATCCTATCGAACTACATAATTTATTACTTACGTTGTAGGCGGCGAGGAGGTCCTCGTAGTCCTCACGGCTCACCCAGCCGTCATGGAAGGCGCGTGCCTCCTCCGCAATCTCCAAAATGCGCTTTTCGCGCACGTTTCGTTGCCGCTGGAAGTACATGTAGGCGCCCAGCCGAAGCGACAGCACCACAACGATTCCGAAGACCCAGACGCTGCCCATTTTGATGTTTGGGGACTACGTAGTGCGAAAAACGAAAAAACGTCGACGAAAAAAAGGCGAGGAGACTTCAAGAGATTTGAGAAGACGTTCGTTGCTACAGGAGAAATGTTGACATGCCTACGATGCGGTTTTATGGACTCTACCGGTTTACTCTTTCCCAGATACTCGGCTCACGACTTCTTCGTCCCACGCACTACCCACAACGGATCCAAATGATCTGGAAGTCGCTGCGAACTCACAAGCACCGTGCCTTGATCATCAGTGACGCGCATGCCATCTTCATCCCTCGCGCAAAGATCCACAATCTGCACATCCTTCCATCCCGCGAAATGCAGGTAATCGCCCACAAACTCGAGTCGTGAGCGCTCATCTAACATCATCCATCTTCTCACGACCTTGTTGGGAAAGCACCGGTTGCTGATAACGAGATGAACGCTTCCACCCTCTTTCGTGGCCTCCAAAAGTTTCTTGCAAACCTCCAGCGGGTTGTTAAGGTAGTCGATGCTGACGACGCACGTCGTTGCATCGAATTGTAAATCCTCGCCGTTTTCCCAAGCAGTGCGTACGTCGTGTGGTGGTTTGTTCAGGTCGAGCACTCGCCAGCGAGCAGGGCCCTGGAACACGCCATTGACTGCCATTTCCTCCTCATTGAGCCCCATGCCATAAACTTCCAGTTCTCCCTTCTGGATGGCTTCCTTAACCGACAACGGGTAGAATGACTTCCAACTCGTGCACATATCCATTATTTTGCCAGTCTTCGGTAATGCGGTATCGTAGTACTGTGTCAACCGCGCAATTGACGGGTCATCGATATGCGTAACTAGTCTGGGTTGTCGATAGAATACGCCATCATCGTTTTCGTCGTATCGCACGAAATCGGAGTCGGTATACGGCCAGTTATCGTATGTTGGGGCATACGGGGTTGCGGGAAAGGTTGCGGAAGACATGTTTGCGACGGTGTAGCCGGCGAAGAAGTTGAAGGGGATGGAGCGGTTAAGTGACGAGTATGCGCGCCATGGGGTGGCGAAGTTTGGTTTGAGGTTGCGAAGATAGCGAGGGAGGGACATGGGTTGATGATATCAGGGAGGGCGAAGCATTGGAAGTTTGCTGGGAAGGCGCGTTCGGTTGAAGTGGGTGAAATGCGGATGATGACGTCATGACACGCGGACTCACGTGCCGACGTGAAGTGCAATCCTATGACTTACCACTGCCGCCTCGTCAAAGCCTCCAGCATACATTAGGTCTTCGTACATTAGGGGATACGACATGCATCTAGTCGGTGGTTGCAGTAGAACTGGCCCCCACGACATTATGAGCGCCTCGCTGCAGGTACGGGTCGGCTATTCCGAGCATCGGAACTGGTATCCCGAGCTTGCGGGGTATCTCCATCCACTACCATAAAACTATCTTGACGATCATGATCAATCTTCTAATGTTTGCGCCCTTGTGTCAAAATGACAGCCATTCTCACAACCGCTAGACTGGTCTTCAAGGATGCGGCCGCCCGGCAAAAGGCCATCGACGCGTTTCACAAGATCATCGAGTTCACGACACCACATGAGCCGGAGGTCTTGCAGTATGTCTGCGCATTACCGGTGGATGATAGTTCGCGGACTGAGATATATATGATTGAAGAGTATGTTCATAAGTTGAATGGGATGTCATGTCGCTAACTGTACTAGATACGCAAACCAAGCAGCAAGTGATGCGCATCTGACTACCAAGCCTGTACAAGATCTCATACAACTCTTCACCACCGGAGATGTCCTCGCTCAGCCACCAGAAGTCCATAACTGCCCGATTATCAACAAGAAAACATCATCACCAGTACCGATCTCATCAAATCCGGCCATCGTTCTCATGAACATTCCCTCCAAACCGGACGCATCCGCCACCAAAGAAGCCGAAAAGTGGAGCGAGCTGTCGCAGATCGTGATGAAGAGCGTCAAAGGCGTAAACTCGTTCACAGTAGTCGAAGACCGAGAAGCGAAAAGTACACGTGTCGAATGCGTACTGCAGAGTCCGGATTCGTTTGCTGCATACCAGGATTTCATGGTCGATGGGCGGAGAGATGGGGCGGAGTTGGTGAAGATCAGGCCAATTAATGGCTTTATTGGGCGTGATAGTTCGAGCAAGTTGTGAGTGACCAGGTAGAGAATGTCAACGATTCAAGAGCTTGTCAATAGTATCCAGGGTGATCATGAGTTCGACTCGTCGTCTGCGGGATCCACATTTCAAGCTGAAGATTGTGGACTGAGAATCCCGGCTGACTAGCCCCGCGAGTCAAGTGTCGTTGTCCAATTGTATGATTACAGTAGCTGCCTAGATCTCGTCTCGACGTGCCGTGTATGCCGCCTCGTCGCCAGGCTCTGGTGTGGAACCATCCAAACGAATGATAACGCTGGAAAGAGGAGTTAGTGTGTGCTATCGGATGATCGCTGGGCTAAAAATCAGTCGTCAAACTCTGATGCAATCCCGGTGAAGGAAGGCGTCTTTGGTGATGAGATCCAAGAGCCATAATCAGAGGAATCTAGGACTTTGCTGTCCCTCCAATACGACGCATAATCATTGCCGTATTAGTAGAAGACGATGGCGGTGCGAGCCATATATCAATGCTCTGAGAAGCTCCGTTGTGTTCGACCCAGCACTTCAGTCGACGAGGACAGTTGTGGCCACGATACATGCGATACCCCGGAGAGCGTACGACCTCGGGCCAACTGATGTTATGGTTGATGGTTTGGCACACATAATGCGCCATTCTGGATATAACCCATCCTCGATGTGGGTTTATCTAGTGCATACTTAGTCCCGCGTGTCTCTTCGTTGATGCTGGTAGGCCCAAAGTTGTGCTCAAAGTTGGCGCAAAACTTTGCGCGATCATAGCTGTGACTTAGACTTTGTGTTTACTCTTCCGCTCGATAATCCAACGGCATCGTGCAGTCCTCGGACGGGTCTAGGGAAGGAAAAAGAAGTAGTGAAAGGATTGGCAATTCGGACATACCTTGTTCCATTGAAGCTCATTCACTGTCAGAGTATCTTCTGGCCCACCCCCGTAACTACCGCTAGCATCTAGGTACGAACCCGGAAAGCGCACCTTTTCTGCGTCCACCTGGCTTCTCTCGATACACGAGAACCCAAGCATCTCCCACAGCCATAGCCCTTTCCCGCCCAGATTCCCTTCCACCTCTTGAGAATCACACCATTCGTAAAGTTCGGCGCAGTGTCGGGCGGGTTTGATTCCATGCCAAATGTTCGAAGCCAGTATTGTGTCATAGACGATGGAGCGGTCGCAGCCAGCTTCAATAACAGCAAATCGCACTGTGTCCAGGTCGGCAGGTCGACCTAGGCGTCGATTGTGGTTGAACAGCTCTACTGCCTCAAGATTGCGTTCCAGCATGGCATTCTTTCTGGCAGCGACGGCCGCGTGCGCAACTTCAGGGTTCGTCCAGTCGACAGTCATCGCTGTAATCCAGAGTAAGAATCGTAAGAACTCGACTTTTTCTTCGGTCCACGAGCCCGTGAACAGCTTCTTCGGCAGGCGTCCCTTCACAAAAGCGAGCCGAGGAAAATGGCTTCTAGAGAAGATCATCTGTGTGGCATCTTGGAAGTCGGGCGGCCACTGCGCATCGAAGCAGCCTTCATCAGTCGTCAGGCCACAGAGACATCCTGCGGGTTCAAATCGTCGCACGATCCACGACTTGAAGAAATCCCACGTCATCCATCTGCTGGCGAAGATAAAGGTTTGAGCCGCTGTCTGGTCGGCGCGCTTGCCTCGTACCTCAGTGAGATAGTAGTCGCATGTTGAGTTGTAGATGTATTCGGATGACAGTCGTGCTGCAATGTGATGCGAAGCTTGAATGAGTGCGATGTTGTGACCAGCGGCAATGAAAATGGGTTGGAGAAGCTCGACGGGTAGACACTCGATCGGGGCGAGACCCATTTTGTGGATGAACAGCAGGATAGGTGAGGTGAAGGTGAGAATGAAGCAGTCGCTGATTCGCAAGGGGCCAAATACTACGAGACTGCAGTTGGAAACGTGTTCCTGAAAGACCTCGACGCCGCATCGTGGATAACTCGGTGTAGTATTGGCCGACTAGGCATCAGCCCCCGCATTTGCCCATTGAGGTATGCCGCTAATTACCCCACGCAGTGCTAGCGCGGTCGCGGGTGTCATCCGAGGTTCACCCACGCACCCTTCCATCGCAACAACATCACCACCTTCTTTTCGACACCAACCTAGGGGCCAGGCGCACCAATACTTCTCTCTTGGATTACGCGATATAGATTTCACGAAAACAGGTCTCACTTCGCTACGCGCGACCAACGCGAGACCGAACTGCATCAATTGAACATTCACCACGTTCGCGCGTTATGATACTGATGTTAGGTGCGCGTCGACCCCGGCCTGAATTCACCTGCTCAGAACTCCCAGTATTTCATGTAGAGTAATGCGTGTCTTGATACGCAGCCGGGCCATGGTCTCCAAGATAATGCTCTGGAAGCCGGTGACTTCGCTGATTTTATACGCTCCTAGGAGCAGTCGCATCGAAAGAGCTCGAGAGACGCGTCTTTATTCCAGGCCGACACGATGAGCAATGTCTGTCGATAGCGAATGAGATCAGATTTTCAGGAACCTAGTGACATTAGGGCGGGGTACTTTTCGGCATTACAGCGGGCGCAGTCATGCATCAGCTTCAACCCGTAAGCCTCAACCCGTAAGCTTCAACGCGTCGCTGTCAACTCGCGCAGCTTCGGTATCTCCGTCCGTACCTCGCGCATTCTCGCTATAACAGTACCGCATACATAAGGGAGAGCTTGGAACAGCTGTGAGAACACCATCTTTACATGATGGCTGATCTCGACCCGAGTATCTTGTTCAATGTGAAGGGGCTAGTGGCTGTAGTCACGGGCGGAGGAACAGGTAAGGAAGAGGTCTTTCCTACATGCAGGGTTATTAATTCATGAATAGGTATCGGATTGATGATAGCGCAAGCACTCGAGGCGAATGGTGCGATTGTGTACATCCTGGGTCGCCGAGAGGAAGTGCTGAAGCAGGCAGCCAGCACAGCGGTATGCTCGTCAAGCGACGTTTTAGACTATGCTGACGCGTTATTTTAGAAGCATGGAAACATCCACTACTTCAAGACCGATGTGACATCCAAATCCGATCTCTCCGCAGCAGTCGACCACATCGCCGCCAAATCCGGCTACGTCAATCTTGTTGTCGCAAACTCCGGCATTCAAGGTCCAACACTCAAAGGGTTGGAAAAGGGCGCATCAATCACCGAATTCCGTGATCACTTATGGAATTGGGATATGGACGAATTCACGCAAACCTTTGCGGTAAACACTACATCGGCTTTCTTCACGGTCGTTGCGTTTCTTGAGCTACTCGACAAAGGCAATAAAGCCGGCAACATTGAGCAGAAGAGTCAAGTCATCTGTATCAGCAGTGCGGGTGCTTTCAACCGCGTACCGATGGCGGGCTATGCGTATGCTGGTTCTAAGTCGGCGGCAGTACATATCATGAAGGCATTGGCGACGACGTTGGTGCCTTACGATATCCGCTCGAATGTGCTTGCGCCTGGTCGTAAGTCGAAGCATCCCCTTCCTCATGCCTTCTGCTTACTAAAGTCCGACAGTATACCCCAGTGAGATGACCGCGGGCATGCTCAGCCAGGAAACGTGGCCGAGGGACTTCATACCCGATCAAAGAGCTGGCAACATCAAGGACATGGCGGGCGCAATACTTTTCCTCACTAGTAGAGCTGGAGGTTATGTGAACGGGAATGTCTTACTTACCGACGGTGGACGTCTGAGCATTCTGCCTGCGACATACTGAGCTAACCTTGAGATTCAGCTTAGACAGGAAGAATGTAGTATGCCCCGCCGTACAATATGGACTCAAGCTTTGCCAACCGCAAGGGCCGGCGCGCAAATGCTTATTTACCCGTGGATCTATGACGTGTTAGTTCGAGATCGTGAATTCCTGGCTCGATTCGGTGGGTTTTGCTGGCTTGCTCAGCTTTTGTGGTGTGAGACGGTGGGTTCTGACGCGTATTTATCCGGTCATCCACGAAGAGCTTGTGCAAGGCCGTCGATCACTCACTGTCATCGAAGCTGAAGAACATCGAATGTCATTACTATTAACTAATGCCACAACAAATAGAATACCTTTACAGCTCCTTACTTTTTGTGTGGATAGGATAGGCCCATGGAATACGGCCTTGGATGCGGTCCTCGCCGAAGACGTAGTCCAACACCCTACTTTGCTTCATGCGCGGAGCGACAACATACTTCATCAAGAGCCATTGGAAAGCGTAAAGTGGATAGATGAACCTGCCCACGAACCAGTAGATTGGAGTAGCCCAGGCGTGGCTGCGAGTTGCGGCAGCCGAGACCCCAAAGTCGAACGCAGTTGGCTCTTTCCGCGAAGATTGGTATTCCTGGAAGATTTGTTCGAGTTCGTCGAAGCCAATATCAGGACCTGCACTTGACTTTGTCGCATTGTGTAGTAAATTGCAAAGCAATGCGACGTCTTGAATGCCGTTGGTAAATCCGAGGCCTGCATTTGGTGTGAACTTGTGACATGCGTCGCCCGCGAGCACAATACGCCCCAAACTCCAATGCTCAAGTACGCCTTCGTCCAAATTTGACATGCCTGCGGTCGAGCTATCGTAGATGTCTTTGACCTTCAGGTCATCATTGACAGGCCAGTCTGCGAAGCTAGCGGCGAAGTCATCCATTTCCTCCTTTGTATATCGCTTCGGCTCCTGGGTCGGTTCTGGCAGCTTTTCATACAGCAACAACCAAGCGCGTTCACGGCCGGTGATCCACATTAGGGAGCGATCCTTGCCCTGTGTGTTGTTTCCCAGGCCAGCCGCGCATGGCCGTGGTGTATTGGACCATAGACAACGGTAGTGGGCGGAGAACGGCGGTTCCGGGTTGCGGCAGGCTGAGAAGCGGTCTTCTGCTGAGAGCTTGTGCATGATCTTGCGCGTTTGACTGTGCACTCCGTCGGCGCCAAGTACCATGGATCCGGTGAACGTGGTGCCGTTCGCGCAGGTGACTACGACGCCGGTTTCGGTTGTTGCGATGTTGACCACTTTCTGGCCAACATGGTATTTCTTCCTTGCTTCCTCGGGAAGGCCTTCGAGCAGGGCTTGTACGAGTTCGGCGCGATGGAATGCGATTGGCTCGAGGCCGAAGCTGTGCTGAGTAAGTGGATGATCAAAGATGGGTTGGACCAATGGGCAGGATTTACTTGTCTTTGACGATCTGGACGGACGTGCCGTCTGCGAACTTCTTGCCATCCTTAGTGAAGGACTTATTATTCAAAACTCTCTGTCCGATTGAAAGCAGCTTGTCAAGCAGACCGAGTTGTTGCATTATCCGCATCGCATGAGCTCCAAGAATGAGACTGGCGCCAACATCAACGATGACATCGTCCCTTCGTTCCAGAACGACAAAGTCGATGTTGGCTAGATGCAGTGCATGAGCAGCTGTCAGTCCGGTTGGTCCTCCGCCAATCACAATAACTTTGAAGGGTTGGTCTGCCATTGCTGTGAATTGTGAAAGGAATGTGAAGCTCTCCACCTCATAAGCTTTGAGACCCTATATATCTGTACATGCGACATTGACATCGATGCAGGCGGTGGTGGGTCATGGAACTGCCGATGAATACTTGACATGTCCATAGCACACTGTGAGTAGATCTCGGGAACCGAAGTACACCCGATCATGTGGATAACATCGACATGCTCGGCCGAGGAGGTTAAGCAGAGTCACAAAGAACTCCCATCGTCGTTTTCAATGTGAGCTTGATGCTCAAAGGCTCCGCTGCCGGGATATTGTGAACCGGGTGTTATGCTGTGAGAGGGGGGACGCGAATCGAAGACGCGTGCGAGCGGGTGCTTGGTGATGCTGCGTATTGCGAAACTTCATGGTGGCATGCGAGTGGCAGCAAGAACGTGAAAAAGACCGATGCGCATGATGTCGATGCTCAGTGCATGGGTTCTGGAGGTTTACTGCAAATAGTGAGAGAAAGAAGGAACTGTCGCGTAAGCATGTGAACGCCTGATCTTGTGAGTCAGGCCGCTGCGACCCGGTGGCGACCCATCTTTTGCATGCTTTGAGACCGTGAGTGTGAATTAGACACTGCGTTCAGGGTTGCATGAGGCGAAAGGGCACAAAGGTGTTGTTCAACGTTCTTTCTATGTGATCGTGAGGATGTGGACACGCGTAGAGGTTCGGAAACCCGCTGCCGCCAACACTAGCGTGCCAAGCTTCGATCCTCATCCCAAGCTTGTCGGGATCTCAATCTCCGCACCGCCGTCCTTCCACGCATCCCCAGAACAACAGCGCCAACTCCTCGTTCGAGCAAAGAATCCTGAAAGACCCAGAGGCTACGTTGATGTTGGAATACCTACTTTGCATGTTTTCGTCTCAATGTAGCCAGCAGACCCGTTCGGCCTTTTCCTTTCAGATACCCTCCTTTATCCACTTCGTCGCCAACTCAAGACATACCCTAGCATCAAGCCAGGGCGCGGTCGCAAGTTCCCTTTGAAAGGATTCGATGTTCCTAATTTCCGCTATGTCAAACCGAAATTTCAGGTTCGATACGCGAAGTATCGCAGCGCCGCTTGCGTCCTTGAAAAACTCTGCAGTCTCCATATCATCGAGTGCGCTATTGTGGGCGATGGTTGCTACCGAACGTAGATCCTCTCCACCTATCACTAAGCTGAGAAACAAGCCCTGCGCCACGACGTCTATCCACAAGTCATTCGTGTCCAAGTACGGGACGGCATAGCTGATGTTGACTTGAGGATGCTGCCGGCAGTATTCGGCCAGCTCGAACATGACATCTTTGGGTTCCAGCGACTGGCTGAGCTTTGGCACCTGTCTATGACTGCTTGACCAGAGGCAAATGTCACGGAAACGTCCCCGTTTAGTCGCTGCGCAGTTCCGGATGAAAGTCAGGAAAAGGTGTCCGGGCCCGAATTTATCACTCCAGTGGGTAAAAAAATGCACTCGATTAACTTGGAGCTCCAGCCCCGCGGTCTCCTTGTACAACTGGCGACAGGTCAATTTCAGCTGATTGAGGTGGTCTTTGCATTCTGAGCGGTAGGCTCCGCAGGGGATGAAGCGTGGGATGTTGTGGCCGTCAAATCCGTCGTCGCTAGACACACCCTCATAGGACCTCACACCGCTGTCGAACTTCAACTCGTCGTCGGTCTGAAGTGCGTACTCGTATATGCGGTTGCGTAGCTCGCCAGGCAGTAGGAGCAGAGGGGATGTGCTCTTGGCGGGCGCATCGTTTCGCGATGTTGAAGGCATCTTTGAGCTATACGATGTGTTAGCAACTGCGAAATAGAAACGGGGTCGATGAGCGACTAACCTGGGTGTGGTCTTGGAGCTTGATGAGAACGTGGTGCGCTTCTCGCGGTACCAGCGACGCAGACGATGTCGAAAACCATCCTTCATGTCGGCGGAGAGAACGGTACACTGGAGTTGAATACGCAGTGCGCGCGGATGTCGTTGTTTGGCAATAAAATTTCTGCGCGGGCTGGGGAGCGAATATTCTCGCCGTATCTGATCTTTCTCACCTTCACTTTGTGCACGGCCCACGTCCTCTAGTCCGCCTAGTGTGCTATCGGTGTCACAGTATTCCTCGCGGCCATACCCACTATTGCATCCGACCACTGAGTGCAGGCCCGTACCAAGCACTTCGTTCACAGCGACTGACCATCGCACCTGGTGCTGCCAGCTATGCAGGCGACCAAGCACGCGCCCGCACACATGCTTTCGATTGCGGAGTATTTAAGATCATGTACATCGACTGGCCGCACCAGGACTGCTTATCGAGCGCCATGCGACTTCTCCATCTGCCAGACCCAGTATCGCAACTTCGATTGTCAGTCCATTGACGAGTATGCCTACGTGGAGAGCGCAGCTGGATTTGGAGGATTGTAAAACTTCCTGATTAGCCATCTGGCCGCTACCCCGCTTCCGCGCACTCATTCACGCTGATGAACGCTTCTACAGCATACTGAATCCCCTACATGCGCCTACGTAATCATGTATCTTCGACGTATCATGAACCCTTGAGGCATTCGTACACTCGTAATCTTATAAATGTCGCTCGAAATGACTGCGCATACCTCCAGGCTATAACGTGACAGAGACGAAGTCATCATTTCTTGTACTTTCTGTTTTGAAGCTGCAGTCTTTCAAAAAGCCAGAGGAGAGCAGAACACATATCATAGTACTCGGAGCTTTTGAGAAAAAGAAGGAGCGCACATGTGCAGCGGCACTCTTTCTTTGGGGTAGCAAGGAAGCGACGTATGATCAAGAAGAGGGAAGCAGGAGATGTTAAGCTTCATGTAGCTGCCCAGACGCGCCAAAGTCAAGCTTTGACTCTTCTCTTCTCTTCTCATAAACTCGAGTTTCGACACTTTTGGAGAGGGAACAATTGACGCCGCCGAACAACGGTATCCATTTGTATTCGCGCGGATTTTAGAGAGGAGGAAGCACCGCACTCATCAAATTCTCTGCTATCGATTTCGGGAACGAATGGTGTCTGATAAAGTAGATGGGGTTTTCGGAGAAGCAGCCCACGTGTCCTAGCGGCTAGACATCTTTGGAGTGTGCCGAATCGATCGAGATTGGAGAGCGAGCAGCCAAAGAAGAGCGACCATGTGCACGGTGCAATTTCACTTTTTGAAAGACCAGGGAGAAGCCCACATACGAGCTTGCAGTCACAATTTTTGGAGAAAGGAGTAGTGGAGTGTGATGAAGAAGAGGAGGTACGGCGAAGAAGGTGTGATTTATACCGCAATGACGCGCTAACACGGAAATGGCACAGCGGCTAAGGCGCCAGCAGACACCATGCATTCATGTTCGGGAGTTTTGGACGATCGCTCGACGCCAAAGCCATGAGCACGATATCGTAATCTTTCGAGAGAACAACCACATGAATAGATCGAATCGAGCTTTCGAGCCGCTGAAGCCGTTACGTGTCGAAGAAGGCGGAAGACAACAGTCATGTTTTCGATCCTGTGATCTGTTCGCGGCACATGCAAAGGTCTTGGTAGTCTTTCAGGGGTATCTACCAGAATGAACCAATTTCGAGTATGTCGTTCTGGATGGAGAAGCGGCGAACATCGTTTCTGTCGCTGGTATTTTGGAATGCGGAAGACCGGAGGAGGCACCGACCATGCACTGAAATCCCATGGTTTTTGGAAGAAGCACCGTGGGCTCGATGAAGAGAGGAAGAAAGGAGTCAAAAGGTGGCTTATATACGCCATATGTCCGATTTCAAAATGGGTCCAGGCAGATACATGGGTTGCAAAACGTACCAAAAGCCCGGAGACATGGTGTTGTAGGCGGTAGGCTTCGGTAGACATGCGCGGTCTTGAGGTTTGTTTTGGGAAAGAGGAGTCTTCCGAGAGGAACATGCTCGGCTCTTGTACAAATTTTGGTGAACATCAGCGCGAAGAGGCGAAGAGGCGATGCGCTTGCTCGACTGAAGTTTTGGAAAAAAAAGAGCTTTCGGAAAGAACATAGGAACTCCTCTTTCGTCATTTTGGTAGAAAGAAGGAGCGCAGAAGACGCAGACATAGAGGAAGCAGATACAACTTTTGGAGAAAGACGTTTTGAAGTGGATGATAAGAAAGAAGAAGAGAGGAGAGGAAAGCCCGCCTTTTATACATGCTTTCCGGCTAGAAAGATCGGATGGCTGACACATTCGACAGCCATCTCATCATCCCACTACATGCATCACCCACCTCGCACCAGATTCTACAAGCATCACGCCTCGATGACTTCCTTCAGTGCCTTCGCACTCCCCTCCAACTTCTCCCTCTCTTCCTTATCCAATGGCATCTGCACCGCCCTCACCACGCCCTTCCTGCCCAGCACAACCGGCATACTCAAGCACACACCCAGATCCTCCTGATACGTACTAACTGGCCGCACGATCTTCTCATCAAAGATGATGGATTTACATATCGATGCTGCAACGCCGCCAATACCGTAGTTCGTGGCGCCCTTGTTCTCGATGATGGAAGTGGCTTTGTTCTTCGTTTCTTCGGCGATGGCGTCTTTATCCAACGCGCTCGATTGCTTTGACGATAACGCAGCAGACAACGGAACGCCGCCGATGGAAGCAAGACTCCAGGCGACGAACTGACTCTCACCATGCTCCCCCAAGACGTACGCTTCGATGCTGGAGGCTGCGACTTCCGCCTTGGACGCGAGGATACCGCGAAGGCGCGCAGAGTCCAGGAAAGTGCCGCTGCCGATAACTTGCGATTTGGGTAGACCGGAGTATTGTTGCGCAAAGTAGGTGAGAACGTCGACTGGGTTTGCAACTAGCAGAAGTACAGTGTCCTCGCGGAACGGCTTCATGTCTGAGATTGCGGATTCAAGAATGGACTTGTTGCGGCCGATTAGATCAGTCCTGCTCTCGCCCTTCTTCTGCTTTGCACCAGCGGCGATCACGACGATATCGCATTGTCCCGCCTCTTTGTGTGTGCCTGCTCTTATGCGGGTGCTGGTGTTGCCGTGGAAGGTGGCATCAGACAGGTCGGCGACTTGAGCGTCTCTGACTTCTTCTTTGGGGTCGACGAGTAAGATGTCACCGGCGACGGGGTTCATGATGAGGCTGTATGCGATTGTGGCGCCTACATCGCCGGCGCCGAGGATGGCGATGGAGGAGGTGTTTTTGGGGTCTGACATGTTGGGTCGGGTATGAATTAAATGCGAGATGAGATGAAATCGGAAGGAGTAGAAGGGCTGTGTTGAAAAATGACGGGAGTACCTGGTGGGTTTCCATTCCTTCTTCTTCTGTAATCTGGTAGTACAAGCTATTGAAGTACGTCATCGTGATGGCGCTAGTGCGTTTTCAGTCCGTAGACAGCCGGCCTATCGATACGCTGGCGAGGAAGTCGCGATGGTGGGTTACCTGAACATGACCAGCTTCAGTTCCTCATCACAGCCCCCATTCTCTCACAGCCCGTATCATCCTCCTCCCGTGATATCCACTCCACCGTCTCACACCCACTCTACGTCGTCGTCTCGTCTCTTACGACGCGTCGTGGTTCGAGGGAGGCGTTGAGGTTGTTTCTTGGCTGTCTTGACTGGCTAGGAGGGCTTAGCATCTTATTCCATGAACAAAGCCAAGTGAAGCAAAAAATGCATCGCAAAATCCAAGTGCTCAATCAAGTGCTCAAGCTACCTTGGGTGCGGGTGCTGCAGCGGGTGCAACCACTTTCTTCCTCGGCTGTGTGGCCAGACCCTTCTTCAGTAGTAGAGGTATGACGTCCGTCGCTTTATTCCGGCTGATGGTCTTTCGGCAGACGGGACACTGGGAGCGCTTCGTTTCGTGAGGCCCGGTGCGGTTCTCGCCAGCGATGAGGGCTTCCATGAGGCAGGTGTGGCAGAAGAGGTGGCCTGAACAATTAGTGAAACACTTGAGACGGTAAGGATTGTACTCACCACACGCAGTAGCCGTAAGATCTGTAGGGTTGTCCATGCAGATGACGCAGTTGAACGAGTTGAAGGTGGTGACAGTCTCCTCTGGCTTTGCCTGCGCCTTGACAGCATCCTCGCGTTGTTTTTGCAGGGCCTCTTGCAGCGGCGTCTTCTGCTCCGTCAAGTCGAGCTCTTCGATCTTCTCGGGCTCGGCGCTCTGCTGCTTGACTTCAGCAGCTGATCCGTCGTCCCGCTTCTGGCGCTTTGCTGAGGGGCCCGGGGTGGGCGACTGCGGCTTCCTCCTCCGCGGCGGTGACTCGGGGGCGCTTGTGAGGTCGACGTAGCCATTTGCGAGACGGTCAGGCCGTGCGCGTGTGGCGGGCGGCATGTCTCCGGTGAATGGGCTGTACGGGCGCCAAGCAAAAGGTGAATAGCGTCCGTGGTCGAGCCCGGCTGGATTGAGGATGTGATCGAAGAAGCCGGTGGAGTAGGGCATGGGCGGGGCGCGGTAGACGTCGTCGAACTGGGCGTCGTCGGCGGGGGCGCTGTAGTGGCCGAAGAGCTCGCCAAAGTCGAAGGCTTCGGGGGAGTAGTGGTTGTGGTGGTGGCTATCGGGGGTGTCCAAGTTGGCGTCGTCGAGTGGGTGGGTTATGTCATCGTCGTCCCTGTGAGAGCGGTCGGCCGACATGGTGGCGAGCGCAGGCCGAGGGGGCGGGCAGGTCAGGAAGGGCAACGTGCTCCTTCACCATCTGAGCAGCTGCTGGTCTGGGCATGGTGTCGCAGTCCCGGGGGCTTGGTGACGCAAAAGCAGCGGCCGCCATTCGGCTCGGGCGTGCTATATCATGCATCGCGTAGGGCTGAGGGGAACTGCACCGCGCCAAGAGTCTGCGGGTGAACTAGACACTGAACATGACGACACCGAATGGCAACCTCAACTACAACGATTCAACCCTCCGACGCCATGCAGTGACCGCCGCATTCCAGTCTGACGATGCGCTGCTCATGTCGCTCCCTTGCCGCCCACGCCGCCCGCCCGCGACCCGTCCATGCGCAATCGCATTTCGCCAACGCCAAACGATGTCTCGCCACAGTGCAGTCTACACAATCTCCGGATGCGGACGGTAGTAATGCAAGGGGCAGTCTGAGCGGTGCGACAGCCAATGCCTCTTTGTCAGTGCCCTCGGAAGCCCGCTTCAGTCCCATCGGTGTTCAGCATCTTTCCTCGCACATCCACTCGCAGGTCTTCCCCGGCGCAAGCACCCAACCACCTCCCGAACTCGTCGCACTGTCGCAGGACCACCTCAGCCGCCATGACTTGCTCGGCAAGAACCAGGACCAGACGCCGCCGGTTGGCTTCGACCTGCCGGAGCTACAAGGGACTAGTCTCGATGAGCACTTCTACAAGCTGGGCATGGACACGGCGGAACCCTACCTGAGCATGGCGAAGAAGCTGGCATGGGCGAACCCTCCACCAAAACCAACGAAGTGGGTGCGACGGAGCGGCTGGACCAAGTACAACAGCGACGGCACCACCGAGGCAGTCGATGCGCCCGACGAGACGATGCTCACATTCGACACCGAAGTCATGTATAAAGTGACGTCGTTCGCCTGCATGGCATGTGCCGCTAGTCCTACCGCCTGGTATGCTTGGTTATCGCCGTGGCTGCTGGGCGAGACCAAGTCAGATCGTCACCTCATCCCACTGGGCGACACCTCAGTCCCCCGCGTCGTCGTCGGACACAACATTGGATACGACAGAGCTAGGATAGCGGAAGAGTACAATATTGCGCAGTCGAAAAACGCGTTCGTCGATACCATGTCCCTGCATGTGGCCTCCAACGGCATGTGCTCGCGCCAACGCCCGTCGTGGATGAAGAACAGGAAGGATCAGGAGGAACAAGACAAAGCAGCCACGTCAGAGGAGAACGCTGGCCTTTCCACAGTCCTGGCGGGCCCGACCGAGGAAGAGCTGTGGATGGGAAGGAGCGCCATCAACTCACTACGGGATGTGGCCAAGTTCCACTGCAACATCACACTCGACAAGGCGCAGAGGGAGTACTTTGGCGACAAAGACCGTGCGGTCGTCAATGATATGCTTGACGAACTGCTCTCCTACTGTGCTGCTGATGTAGAAATCACGCATCGTGTGTATCAAAAGGTCTTTCCGTTGTTCCTCGAAACATGTCCGCATCCTGTTAGTTTTGCCGCATTGCGATTTCTGGCTGCCGAGATTTTACCTGTCAACGAGACGTGGGATGCGTACATCAACAACGCCGAAGCGACATACAAACAGCTCGACGATGCTGTGAAGGAGCGACTAGTGGCGTTGACGGAGAAGGCGTTGGAGGTCAAAGATCAGCCAGAGGTGTATGAGAACGATCCCTGGCTGAGTCAGTTGGACTGGTCAGGGCAGGAGGTCAAGATGGTCAAGGGGAAGAAGAAGGGCGATCCGCCGAGACCAGCAGCCCGCCAGAAGAAGCCTGGTATGCCAAAGTGGTACAAGGATTTGTTTGCGAAGAACGACGCCCCGATGGCTCTTACCGTACGAACACGCATCACGCCGATTTTGTTGAAGCTGGCATGGGATGGGAATCCTCTGGTGTGGTCGGACATACATGGGTGGACGTACAAGGTGCCCGCAGACGAAGCCTTTGCCTACGACGACAAGGGCTTGAAGGTCTTGGACATGTCTGAGGAAGAGAACCTGAAGCTGCGGGATGACAGCCAGTATGTCTACTACAAGATTCCACACAAAGATGGACCGCTCGCAAGATGCGCCAACCCACTTGCCAAGGGCTATCTGCAGTATTTCGAGAAGGGGAAGCTGGGATCAGAGTATGCGTATGCCAAGGAAGCACTGGAGATGAACGCGTCTTGTTCGTACTGGATCAGCGCGAGGGAGAGAATCACGAATCAGATGGTCGTCTACAACAAGGAGGTACCTAATCCGCCGAAACTCGTATCTGCATCCGGTAAAGGCGCTGGGAAGAAGGTCGGCTTCATCCTTCCACAGATCATACCAATGGGCACCGTCACGCGGAGATCGGTCGAGAATACCTGGCTCACGGCTAGTAACGCGAAGAAGAACCGCGTTGGGTCAGAGTTGAAGTCCATGGTAAGAGCTCCTCAGGGGTACTGCTTCGTTGGAGCAGATGTCGACTCACAGGAGCTGTGGATCGCCAGCTTGATTGGCGATGCGACGTTCAAACTCCACGGCGGTAACGCAGTCGGCTTCATGACGTTGGAGGGTACCAAGGCAGCAGGGACAGATTTGCATTCTCGGACCGCCGCCATCCTGGGCATTTCGCGTAACGACGCCAAGGTGTTCAACTACGGACGTATCTATGGCGCCGGACTGAAGTTCGCGTCTACTCTCCTTCGCCAGTTCAACCCTTCCTTGTCGGACGAGCAGACTTCGAAAACAGCAGACGATCTCTACAAGAACACCAAGGGAAAGAAGACTAACCGAAAGCAACTCCATGAACGAGCCTTTTGGCGTGGTGGTACTGAGTCTTTCGTCTTCAACAAGTTGGAAGACTTTGCTGAGCAGGAACGACCTCGCACGCCCGTCCTCGGCGCCGCCATCACCGAAGCCCTGCAACGGCGGTATCTATCAAAGGGCGGATTCATGACAAGTCGAATCAACTGGGCAATTCAATCTTCCGGCGTCGACTACCTCCATCTTCTAATCGTCTCCATGGACTACCTCACCCGCCGATACGGCCTCGACGCTCGCCTCTCCATCACAGTCCACGACGAAATCCGCTACCTCGTCAAAGAAGAAGACAGATACAAAGCAGCGATGGCGCTCCAGGTGGCCAACGTATGGACGCGCGCAATGTTCAGTCAGCAGATGGGCATCAACGAACTCCCCCAATCATGCGCCTACTTCTCCGCTGTCGACATCGATCACGTCTTGCGCAAAGAGGTGGACATGGATTGCATCACACCCAGCAACAAGGAGAAGATTCCGCATGGTGAGAGTCTGGATATCATGGCGTTGTTGGAGAAGGGCGAGGAGGCGCGTCTCGATCCCCAGCATGTTCCAAAGGAAGCCGACATGCCAACACCGGAGAAGTACACCCACGCTTTTACACCCCGCACGCCGATTATGACGACCCTTTCGCGCGGCGACGCAGTCGGCGACCCAACAGCAATGGCGTATCTCAAAGCGCAGATCTCCTCCTCCGACCAGGAACTCCGCGATATCCTCAGACCCCTCCGCGCAACACCCGCACCGCGCACCAGCAAGACTTCAAGTAAGAGCAAGAGTGGTAGTACGGCTGGCAACGAAGTCTCAGATATAGAGCAAGAGAATCGCGAGATCCAGAAGGAGATCAAGCAGTTTGAAAAAATGACCAAGCAATCGAGCGCTCATGACCCCTGGCGCGAGGTGTACAAGCGCGCGAATGCGAGCACAAAAGCCAAAGGTAAAGTTGGCACTGGAAGCGAGTGGTGGCCCAACACTGGCTATGGTTATGGGCAGCATCCGAGGAGTTCGGTGAGGAGCGCGAGGGTTTAAAATGGAGTGAATGCGCGAGATGAGATATGTTTCTTGTATGTTTCTTGTAAAATGTATGTACAGCAAAACTTCACGCATGGGTTGGGTAATACGGCTATCATGGGCGGAGGGGCGGCGCGACGTCTGGTTTACTTGCATAGGTTCGGCGCATCGTTCCTTCTACAAATGCACATTTGGATTGGCGTTCTTCCGATTCCGACCCCATTTCGCAGTCGCGTGACTGAGGGGGGTATAAAAGGCCGTCTTCCGAGCCGTCGTTCTTCTCTACTTCAATACCTTCCGTTCTTTATTTACTAAAATGCACACAGCCACCTCACATGACTCTGCTGGTCTGGCTTTTCCAAAATTATAGATGAAATGGAGCATGTGCTCGCCTTCCCTTCTGGTTTCGACATCGACTTCTAAAAAGAACCATGAAGGATGTCATGTTTCCTGGTTCTGGTCTTCCCCAAAACTCTACGTTTTCGAGGTGATGTGTCCGCCTGCTCGCGTGCTCTCAACCTCCCAAAACTTTAGGCCTGACGACGACATGACTTCAACCGCCCGCCTTTCCGAAAACCATAGGACGGCCAGGAGTATGCTGGCATTCACTTACACTTTCGAAATTGGAACCAGGATGTCCTTTGAGATACACATATGTTTTTGGTTATCCAAAATTGCAATGCAAGAGTTTGATATGTGCGCCTCGGCCTGCAATGCGCATGCCTCAAAGATTATTACTATCCATGTATGTTCTACGCCCTATGCCCAGTGAAAGCGCGTTGCATGAAAAGGCGATGTGGGAGTCCTGGCTACTGCCTACAAGACCCATGTCGTCGTCGCGATGTGGCACTGGTTTTTGTTGGGAGCCCTATAAATGTCACACAATGCGTGGATTATACTTCTACACTTCTTTTCTCCTCTACAAACTACCGAAATTTCCCAACGACACTTTCATGGAGTGAGTGTTCTTCCCTCGGTTTCCAAAACTTCCGTACGGGCTTCTCATGTTCTTTGCGCTGTTCGCCGCGGCAAGCGCAGCGCAACATGGAATCACCTGAGTTGCTTTTGAAGCAGCTCGTTTCGAGACACCCTATATATTGCTCACAGCGCACGAAGAATGCCCTTAATTCTCTCCTCACTTTGGAAAAACACCAAAACGACTTTTCGAAAGACCCATGAAGTTGGCGGCCTTCTCTCGGTCTTCAAAAAATGTGGTCTTCGATCGTGTTATGCGTATGCAACTTTGCTGTGACGTCATCCTCGTCTACAAAGTCAGCTTGATCGACGTCTATGGTATCGTCTTCCAAAAACAGCGCCAGTAGCTCAGTATGGCATCCCGCCTCGATGATTTTCCAACTACATACACTGAGCAAAGGGTCCGAGACTGTTACAACATTTTCCATACTTGACGAATATCCAAAATCGCCATCGGACACTACTATGAGCCGGCTTCGCGCGGTCTTCCAAAAATCAGTTCTCGACTTTCTATGATTGCGACTTTCTGCATTCCCCGCAGTATTCTTTCGATATCAAAACATCTGTCAGTTATCTCATGGCGTTCGTTTGTTGAGGCCTTTAGCTTCTCGTTGCTAAGTGAGATGACGACCAGGATATCCTCGTACACCGTGGTTAGTTACCAAAAACAATGGAGACAAGTGCTATGGTGTCGTTTCTCCGCTCCCTCTCTCTCAAAACACGAACGAAACCATCTGATGTTTCTTGGCCACTCTTTTGATGTCTTCATAACATCATAAGAGCTTCTCGACCCTCCGATAGCGTCTTCCCGCTCAGCCATATATTCTTTCCATAATACAAAGCGCGATTATATACGTCATCTCCCGGCGTATGGAGAACTCCGGAAGTTAGAAGCCAAAGAAGTCATGGAGTTGGGTGTCTTGTGTGGGCCCTTCCAAACATGCCGAAGCAGCTTTCCATGTTGCAAGACTCTCTCGTATCACCGTATACTCTCAAATTGCCACGGCAAATATTGATGCAGCGCGAAGCCTTAGCCTTTTGAAGCAGTTAACTTTTCGCGGCTGCGGGTGACGACGACAGCACTGATTCCGGCAAGCTGGCTGACGAACGAGACAAGATGGACAAAAATAGGGTGGTGGGACGCTCCTGCCCTTTCACTCAGTGATGTCACGGGTTCCGAAAATCTCTTCGCGCGCCTGCCTGGACGCGTGCAGTCGCTAGCGTGACTACCAAGATTGTTTGTTGTTAGCTCCTTCCTGGCTATTACTCCCTCGCCTGCGCCGTCTGCTTCCCGTCACACACTTCTATCGCCCATCTGGTCGCCGACCACGACGCAAGGATAAAGATGAGCGCCGCATTCGAAATACCCTTTGGCGAGTGGGAAGAGAGGGCCCAAGAACATGTGAGAACTCCAATATGGAGCTGTGTGGGAAAGGAACTGACACGGTACGCTCACCTAGGTTGATCACTCCAAGTACTCCAAGCTCGCCTTGAGTCTCGACGAATATGGATGGCTGCCTCTGATCCGAGCCACGTACCATGACGAGAACCTCACCAACAACTGGTACATCAAGAAATGCTCCCTCGAGCACTGGATCATGTACTGCGACGAGATCTTGCCTACTGTCGAGCCGGCGATACTCAAAGCCATTTGTCGTGGAGACGTGAACGCCGCGGTCAAGGGCGATGCCGACCTACGCAAGATGCTGCAAAAGTACGAGGAACGTCCCGACGGCATGCACGCCATCTACCTGCGACAGATGACAGTCGGTATCAACGAAGAGGCACTTCTCATCGATGAGGCGCGCCGTCTTGCTTCGATCGCCATGCAGTACGCGAATCAAGATAGCTCTGACACCGCCGCGGACGAGGCCTATGCGATCGACAGGGTGGCGTGCGAGGCCGCCTGGCATATCCGTTACACCATCAGTGGACGGCGTCATTTCATCGAGGGCAGCAATGGCGACGTCGACCCTGAAAAGAAGCGTGTGCTACAACGCTTTTCCCGCACTCTCACTCGTCTTGCAGACCAGGCTGAAAAGGAGAACAAGACACACATCCCCTTCCTCCAGGACGTCGGCTACGCAACCAAAGGCTTAAAGGATGAGCGGAAATATGGGAACGGTCGATCAGGTACAAGTTGGCTGTTCTTGTTCACCAAATACATTCTTGAGAGCTGGAAAGACATCTCTACTGTGAAGATGCACCACTTCACTATCGCTCTCATCGTCGACGTTTCTTTAGGTCCTGTTGGCCAGATGCTACTTAGTCGCCTCGCCCGCGCGTACTACTTCGCTGGCGGCTTTACGATCAGCCAAGCCGGTACCAGTATGTCAATCCTGGAATTGCTTTACCGATCTGAAGTCGAGCGTCAAGAGATGTTCGAATACATTCGACTTCAATTAAGCAAAGACCGCATTGATGTCGAGCAGTGAGAGTAGCATCCTCCCGAGCACCTTGGGCGACTCAGGCAGTTTGAGAAATGTGTGGAGGACAAGACGAAGGAAGCCGCGGGGCTGGTGTGATCACTGTTTTGCGTTGTCCATGATGTCGGTGCGGGAGCTGACGGGTGTACTTACACGCTTGATGGTGTTACGAGCATTTCACGGCCACTTATGAAGATAGATGAATGACACTTCTAGGTATAAAGTTCTTGTGATGCCCTGCCACTCGAAACTATAGTAAAACGAATCGACCTTTCCTTTATGACCTTCCCTTTCAACAACTACGATAGCCATTCGAAGATTCTCACACGTCCTGTAGCCTATATTTCTCTTATGAAGCGCATTGCTCCCGAGCCGATATTCTTCTGCTCATATATCAAGACTTCTAGCGATCGCGAAAATGAAGATACCTCATCGCCATCTAAGAATACATATCTACACTAGCAGTTTGAAGAGATATAATTGAGTGTCGTATTACCCCGACGCGACAACACTGCAACTATGATTGGATTGAACGGGTTCTGAAACGTTCTTCGCGTGCTTGCCCGGAGTCACTAGCGTGACTGCCACGAGTGTTCTCCCTTCGCCGCTTCCTCGCACGCTTCTCACATCTCTCATCACCCCTCAAGTCCTCGCTCCTGTCGCACACCCCATCACTTACCGAAGCGCAGGATCGACAATGACGGACCCCAATGACGGCGAGCTGTGCCATTTACTGGAGGACGCCCTCAAGGTGTTCGACGACATCAAGCCGATTACGGGCTCTGACGTGAAGACGATGCTCTCGACGTACCTTGAGGCGGTCACTGCCAGGCAAACCGGTGTCGACGAAGAGAAGAAGCGTATGTGCGAGAGCCTGATACACGCTTCGAAGGCGCTTCACATCCCGATCAATACAGACACCCCCGCCACCGAACAACTGAATACGCTCGTCCAGGGCGTTACCGCTGCTTTCGAAGCTCGCGACACGGCAAATGACGCCGTCATGAACGCTCTGGTCTTGAACGCGGCTCCTTTCCAGGTCCAGGTCAACCAGAGCCTCGCGCCTGCCGAATACGCCAAAGAGGTTCTTACCGACGTGTCCACCAAGCATACCGCGGCGCTTGCAAAGATCGAAGAATTCGAGAAGAGAGTGGAAGTCATGGCGGATGCTCTGGGATTCAAACTGACCAAGGCACCTGGACGTGAGCAAGTTAAAGAGATTACCGATCACGTCAAGAGGTCTCAAGAGAAGAAAGAGCAGGAACTCGTACAGTGGGAGAGTCAGGTTACCCCGGCGGTTAATCTTGCACCCACCCAACTAGGGGTTCAGTTGCCAGTTCACGGCATTGCTGGGCGGGTCCAGGAGCTTGGCGAAAAAGCTCAAGCCAGCTTCAAGGACACTACTGAACACCAAAAGGATATGTTTGACAGCCTCTTGACAGAAGCTATCGGGATTGTCGAACACTCAATTGGTGGCTATACCGTCGATGAACTCAGTGTTGCTCTTCCAGTTCTCTCCGGCGACGCGGCTTCGACTCTTCAATGGAGTGAGCAAGAGAAGAAGCGAATCACACAAGCGGCTGAGAAGCGTGACGCAGATATCCAGACGAGAAGGATTGAGAGCGAACAGATATTGCGGGACATGATCCAGAGATCGTACAAGAACCTTTATCCACATGCCAAGTCACTCCCATCGCTCACTCCGAAACATACCATCCAGCAACTCAAAGAGTGGACGACCGAGGTTCATGACCTATTCCAGGCCCTACCTCATGAACAGATCGAGGCGGACGTGGGCCTTACAGACGCGCGAACGGATGTCATGCTCCGGCTACGGGCCAGCCTTTACATGTTTGTGAGTGATGCGTTTGATGCTGCGGATCTCTCTACGGCTGATGAAGACTGGCCTCTCACTTACGAGGAAGACGATCCCGTCATTGCCGTGGATGCCGAGCATTTTGTCGCCGAGCGTCTGGACGTTCTGCAGAAAGCGCTCGACGCGCAGCGCGAAACTGCCAAGAAGAGCACCGCTGCTCAACTACAGCTGCTGGCTGCCGAGATCGACCACATCACTTGTCTCGCCTGCCGTTGTACCACTGTGCAAGATCCGATGTACAAGTTCCCAGCCGTCGATCCCTGGAGCTCCGAGGAAGCACTGTTACAGCGGCGTAGAGATTTCGATTATTGGTTCAAAGAGGAGTTCGCAGAGCACCAGCTTGCGATCAAAGAGTCTACCGAGTACGATCTTCACTTCAGCTACGGCCAGCTCCTCCGATGGGTGGCAGGCAGGGTGTTCGGCCGCCTGCACCGCTTCCAGTCGCTACTCCACAAAGAGGAAGACCTGCAGATGTTTCTCTTTGACGCGACATACTTGTCGTACGACGTGAACAAGAAGAACGCCACGACCTTGGCATACTGGCTCATCGACAAAGGCAAGAACCTCGAGAACGTCATCAAAGAGCGATCGTCCGATGCGATGGAAGCCCAGCAGCAGGTTTTGCATCTCCGTGGTGTTCTTGGAGACGCGCGTGACTATTACACTACCCTGGAGAAGGCTATCGACGCGTCGTACGTCGTGGTCCTCGCGAGAGAGGAGGAAATCGCCAAGCTCAAGCAGCTCCAGGCTCCTCCGGGATAGGTTCGCTCACGCAGGAACACACCTCCACCTCATATAAGAAGAAAATAGTGACCACCCAGGAGTCTACGTTGGCGTTGGGACACCTACTCTTCAAGCTTTTGCCTCGATGCAGTCTGCAGATCTGTTCAGTTTCCTTCTTGTGCGAGGGGTGCGTCGGTAGTTCGCACATGGAGGCAAAGGGTATTTCACGCAGCAATGCAAGATGACCCACTCACGATGGGAAGGAGGTAGTTCATGGTATACAAAAGGCCTGGACTTTGGAGTTCGTAGCAACAATCAAGGGTCAAGCACAGATATGAGGGATGCGTGATGAACGGAAAACTAACATTGTGATCTCAGAGACAGCGAGACTGTTGTTATACGCATCTGACGTTTCGAAACACCTCCCACGGAATAAGAGTAGCGGTAAATCGACGCGGTTGCTGTGCTGTGTTGTGACGTCATATCCTCTCTGGAAATACAGGTATGTTAGAAGGGACTCAAACATCAGCTGCAGATGGCGACGACGACATCAACGTTCGTTGCATCATGAAACCTTTGTGTCACGAATCTTACCGTCAATATATCTTTCTTTGTCCGAAATAACGACAAGAAAGGGCTGATGTAGTTCAGTGGATGGCCTGCGCGAGTATAAAACCTTCGTTCTCCGTGCAACGTTCTCTCTTCACTTCCATAGCAAAACTCCTTTTTGCGAAAAGCGCCGGAGGAACTCGACATGTCTCTGCCTTCCGTGTCTCAACTCCAAGTTTGATCCGACTAAAAAGTCCCAACGTGTACTAAATGTGCGAAGCACGAAGCGGAGTCTGTACAGCGCGAGCTCAGATACTGTTATCTAGATTTGCATCCTGATAAAGTCATAGCAGTACTGCCCAAGTGTGCGGATATATTAAGCGCACGCGGTTCTCACAGGCTTCCCTCTTATCCACACAATACCCAGGTTGTTTACCAAAAAGAGAAGCCAGTGAACCTATGTCTGCGTTCTCCGCGCCTTCGTCGCAAATCTAGATTCACCCAAAAGCACTAAACTCACATATGATGTAGCAACGCAGGCCTTGAGGTTTTGTTCAAAGTCGACGCCCAGTGCTTCATGCCTTCATTGCGCTGTCTCGTGATTGCTTTATCAAAAACGCAACAGGCACGTGTATGAGAGCACTGCTTCGGAGTGCGTGTATATAAACTCAACACCATCTTCACCTCGCTTTCTGCTTATACACACACGAACTCTACTTTTCACCAAAATACATGGAGACGAGGTTCGATGTCTTTGTTTTCTGGGGCTTTGTCGCAAACCTGACTCTACAAAAAAAATCAGATCATCAGCTATATGTGGCCGAGTCGAAGCTCGGCTTTTGTTCAAAGTACACACGTGGATACCCATGGCGTTTGGGAACGCTTACTCCACCTTGGTATCAAATTATGCAGGATCTCAACTCATGTCAGTGTTGCTCGGGAATGCGGGTATATAAACCTCTTTTCCAGCCTGTCCTTCTCGTCTTCATCACACCACTCCCAGAGTGCATTCTCCAAAACGATTAGTCCTTCGGGTTCATGTCCTGCGTCGGCCTCCTGTCTCTTTGAAACGCGATCCAAGATAGAAGGGAAAAGCCTGATGGCGCTGCTCGCTTTTCAAAATGTCACACTCAGAGGGCATGATCGACCGCTGCACTCTATGCCGCATTGTGTTATCGGAAAACCAAAATGCTTGACTGAGCTATGGATGTCCGTCTCTTTCTCCGCGGCACATCTCATAATCGGAGATGGTGGAAGAAACTTCTTGATTTCATTCGCCTCCAAAGCGAAGTGCAAGCAAATGATGCGCAAAAGTCTTGTCCAAAAGGACATGTCCAGTGCAGTGTGGCAGCAAAACGGCAATGGCGAGCGACCAAAACAATATTTCGCCAATGCGATGATGTGGGGGTGCGAACAAAAAGGCGACCCGGTGCAGACAAGCGCGGTGCGCCTTTTGAGATTGATTTTCAAAAGAAAGGTTTAAGAACGTCATGTTCGAGTGTGCCAAAGGTTGAATGGTCATGGGTGAAGATACGCGATTCCAAAAATCACCTGGCGGAGAATGATGTGAAGAAAGAGCTCTGGAGCCCAAGTTGCATTGATGCGCAAAGTCGAACGCCGTCGACCATTATCCAAGTCCTTGGCCGCAGCCCCCAAGTTCAAACCAGACATATCCATGCCGTGCCAGTATTCAGTCCATCAAAAGAAAAAATGACACGATCTATGTGCCGCAAACCAAACACGCGCACGCAAATGCCATGCTATGTTACACGCGGTCTATACGTCTATGCCAAACAGCAGTCGCATGTATAGGTAATGACCGTCATCGTCGGACCGATCGCTCGTCGACGAAGAAGAGGAAGAAGGTGTCGGGGTATCGCAGAAGTGTGTAATTCGTCGAACATCGCTTAAACAATGAGCAGCTTCTCAACGTTCTCGCCCGCGCTGCGCTCGCTCATGCGGTTCCACGCGGCGTAGGTGAGGACACCGCAGGCGGCCCACATGACGGGGACGGCGGCTTCGGCGCCAGCTGTCACAAACTTTAGTATGATTATTTCATTTTTGATGCTTCCTTTGCATGACGTACTTGGGCGCTCGGCCTGCGCAGCCATCTCCATGACGCGGGCTGCGCTGCTGGTTGAGCTGGAGGAGTTGGCGCGGATGGTGGCGGGTGCGATGCGCTTGCCGGCGAAGGCAGCGGTTATGGGGACGCGGGTGGCGATACGTGCGAACATGTTGTTGATGTAGTTGAGGTTTGAGGATATGTTATCGAGGAAACCGAGTTTATGTAGCGACAAGTGGCGACGTGAGTAATCTCAGTACTGACACGTATAAACAAACGATTGCAGTCGTCGTCGCAGAAAGCCCTCTTGAAAACGTAGAAAGTGAACGTGCGTGGTTTCGAGTGAATCCGGGGAAAGAGGACACAGACACGGAACACGGTTTATATAAAGAAAGTGGGCCTAGGGAAGGAGTTGACAGGGCTGAAGGGAAAGGAGGCGAGGCCGGAGATGGCGCGAGCAGAAAATTTAGGGGCGGTGAGCGATCCGTGCAGGGATGTGCCAGGTCGAGATAGGCTTGGCCGCCAGCACGTGAGTGGGTCGGGTGCGGAAATAGCAAATGTGAAGTCTGGGGTAATGTCACTTTTTGAGGAAGGCATGGCCCTTGCATCACGCGGCCTGCACTCATGCTGAGAAGTCTTGAAGATGATGCATTATACGTATCGCGATCGAATGGCGACTGACAATGAGGCTCTCCGAGTTCCCCCCGGCTCTATCTCGCAAAGAGCCGCAGAGACCCTGCTTTGAGATCGGCACTGCGGCGCATCCCCGGCCTTCTAGACGAATCTACCGAGAATTAACCTGCCCTCGCCACCCCCAGTCTCAACAATAACTTAACAACGACTCAACAACAAATCTAGGTCGTGAGCACTTGTTCTTACACGGTTCATCGGCATTCACTATAGCAGTCATCAAAACCTCGGCTCCGATGAATCAACAAGCTCGTGGCATGTGCCGTGCCTGACGAACTCGCCTTGGAGGCATTCATTTGCATCCAAACACTACCTGCGAACTGAAGGGAGGGCACAGCCCTTCATATAAATCCTCGTGCTCACGTGCTGAGAAAATAGTACCAGCTGAAGGTTGCGCCAATTTCAAACTCAAGCCTCCACTCAGTAGTTCTGCCACAGGAAGTCCTCAAGCTTCCTCCCCTCGCACACCTTCACGATTGCGTCTCGCGTCATGGCCACCGAGCGTATTTCACGGAACCTCTTGTCTGCCATCCGGTCATTGCGACCACGTAACTTCAAGTCGACATCGGACATCGTTAGACGAACGCAAAGTAACGCCGAGTCGATGCTATCACTGTGTATCTCGAGATATCCACACGAGTCTAACGCATGAGTTAACGGGTCGAATAACGTAGGCCCACACTCCCCGAAGCGAGTGGCGACCTCGAACAGTATGGCCCTGCAAAGACCGTAAACCGCAAAACAATTCAGCCGAGCTATTGGGAAGGCTCCCTCGTATTCCGGTTCGATGACGTCTTGCGCGCGACGGATGAGTTCCGATGGCGGATACGAAGTCTGGATATCGGTCTTGCGTTTGTCCCTATCAAGCCGTCGAATTACATTAGGGTCGCCCGTGAGTTTGACCCAAAGCTCGGGAGTGGGTATGTAAACATTGTGAAAGCTGTCTTGCGCGGAGAGTTCCATGGTACTAAATCGGATCTTGTTTCGTTCGCCAGCGACTTGCTGGGGTACTTTCTTTGGGGTTGTGGTCAACTCTGTGAAGTCCTTCGTTAACTTCTTCACGAACCTCGCACCACAATGGATCTCAAAGGTGTTCAGAAACTTCTCTCGAGGTTCTTGCTTTCCCGGGAAAACCACTGTCTTGAACAAACTTTGGAGATGTTCCAATACTGGTATCTGGGGGCATCCAGCATCGATTTGCCGTAGCATGTTGTAAAGATGCATTATAGCGCCGAACATTTTCTGCTCGTTGAGAACCGCAAGGCCACAGTAGAGCGTAAAGTCAGATATAGCGGACATGTAACTTCCCGTGACCCAAGGTGATTGAGAATAAAGGTCGAACGTCTTGACAGCAAGGAACTTCTCCAGGTTCATCTTGAGTAGCTCGATGGTGTCCCCTGTCAGATTTTGATGTTGCTGCAGCTCTGCTATCGCGCGAAGCACTTCGTTCGCTCGGCTTAGTACAATGATGCGGCAGTTCGACGGCGTCTTTCCTAATCTCTCGCATTCGTGCAGAAAGCTACGCCCGCTTTCCAGTAGCATGTGCGTTGCTACCAATTCCGAGAACCAAGTCACCTTCTTCGAAGATTCAGCGACAAGAGGAAGCGCTGAGGGGTGTTGTAGATGTCCTTGCCTGATATACGCCCATCGGGGCGAGGCATTTTGCGCTTTGTTTGAATCCGGATCGAGTTGGTACGCTTGATAGGCGGGGTGTAGAGAAATACTCTTGACTATAGATCCGAGCAGCATGCGCTCATAGTCGTAACGGTCGGCGCAAATCCTTTCGCCTGCTACTTGGCGATCCTCTTGGGAGAGCTGAGATCCATCGCGCGATGCGAACTCGGTGACTGCCCCGACGAAATCCTCTTTGACACTGCGCTCCTCAGACGGGTTGCGAAAGAAGTCTTGGAAACGACGCCGCTCGTTCTCGAAAGACCGCGGGACTTGTTTTGTTTCTGCAAAAGTGTTCAGAAGTCTGAAGGGCCAGATTAGACCAGTGCCATGAGTTAGCTCGACAAAGGATGAAGACGTTACAGATTCGCTAAATTTTGTCGATGTCAATTCGTCCGCAGTGATGTCTAGCCGTAGACTACCACAGTCCCCAATCTCACTAAACACGCCCTGCTGAATAGTGACGTCCTTGCTCGCGTGACATTTCAACCGTCTCATGAAGTGCTGAGCCATGTTCGTCAACCATCCGGCGGCTGCGAGAGATGTGTCGCCGCGAGCAAACGACCTCCAAATGGCATTCGTAGTGTCCACAATGGCCTGGTATTCTGTGAGGTGGGTTTGGATAGCAATCGCATCCTCGATGGGGTCTTCTACAATCGCGGATCGTTTGGGACTAGTTCTTGGCAGGCTGTCTTGCCAGTATTGAGATGCGGATCCGTCATGATCTTTCTCGGCTTCTATCAGTCCAATCAGCGCCTCGAAGCTGTTCGTAGAAGCGGGAGGGAATGCGTCGGATGACGCGCTCAGCGCGCCCTTTGTGGCCTTCTTCTTCTGCCTGACTTTTGGCATGAGCAACGCACATGCTTCAGCCAAGGTCTCGTTGAAGATCTTATGACGTTCAGTCGACTCTTGAACTTCTTGCGTGGAAGATGGCAGCGCCTCGTAGTACCTGGTCAACTTGCTGCGATTTAATATGACGTTCTTGAAAGCCGCTTGAATGTCCACGGGTGGCTTCTTACCCATGCTTGCGGCCTGGCGAGCGCGTTCAGCGATCTCGCGCACCGTCAACCCGGCTGCGTGTGACTGATCTTGTTGCTCCTGGCTTGATCGTGTTTTAGTTGTAGCTGACGAATCGAAAGACACGAGCCAACTGATGACAATGGAAGTTCCTTGCTTGTACGTGCGATAAATCTCGGATAGGGTCGGCGGGAGCCGCTCCGGTGCTTTGGTGGGGGGTTGCGCAGACATCGTGAAGCGACTGGGCTTGTGATCGGAAATGTCGTTTCAAGTCGATTCGGTGCTGTGTGAGAAAGGGGAAGCTGGGGGCGTGTCGCTATGCTTAATGGTGGGGGAGCTCGCAGTCTTGTAGTTCTGCGGAAGCAGAAAAATCATGTTCTAGGCTGCAACGCATGCAACATCCCACACGTGACTGGCTGTGAGAGTTTAGCGCAGCATCATCCCATGGTTCAGCGGGATCGAGCTCGAAAGTGAGATCGTGCATGTAAATTGTGTAGGTTGGGAAGCCTGCAAGTGCCCCCATCGCAGAACGCAGTCGCATGACCCATGCGTCGCCATCAAGCTGACCACCAGATGCGCGCTTCTTCCATCGGGGCCTTGGTGGGAGGCTGGTGTCGCAAGATTGACGAGAACCTGCGCCGTGGATCTAATTACAGTGTTTCGGCTTGGATAAGGTGCTGCGGTTGTGTAGCAGCGATCGTTCATCGCTCGACGCGTCCGGCATCGCGAGGCATGGCACCTTCGAGAAAAGGGAAAGCGCAAGCGTTGCACATGCGAGTGGACACCATTACAGCCGTGCGACCTACACAGTGGAAGCTACAGATGCGCGTAAAAGATGGCAAGATTCGCTTCACCAATGATATTGACAGTGCCTGGGATGAAAGGCTGCTGCGGGACACGGGCGGGGAGATTGTTCAGCGGACTGACGCGCCAAGCTTTTGATCAATGAGGCTAGTCTGACTCTCGGGAACGAACCGGAAGGAACGATTTCTCGGACTACTCATTAACATGGAGCGTCCCATTTCGGCCACTTTCAACAGCGACGATGAGTGCACATATACTCAGCTTAGACGTGTTCATTACGGCTGGCCGGTTCATCTAACGCGACACTATTATTACACTATTTGCTGAAGCCACTACATCCGCCTCACATATCCTTCCATAGGTAGTCCTCTGGCTTGACGTCCCCGCAAACCTTGACCATAGCGTCACGCAGGAGAGCCAAACACTCATTTTGCCTGGCCCGTTTCAGCCCCGCAGCCCCAGACTTCAAATCTTTTTTATCGATGAAGAGCCTGGCCTGCTCCAAGAAGTCGTTGGCAGCTTTCACAGTGTTTGATGAAATGTCGGGAAAGCTATCAACCCCGGAGTTCTCCACGATGGTCCTGCTCCATAGTTGCATATCTTCCGGTAGACCCCCTGGCTTCGAGATGCGGCCGGCAACATCCTTGAAGAAGTCGAGCATCAGGTCCATAACAGCGAAGAAGTTGACCTTTGCTACTGGAAACGGCCCTTCGAATTCCGGTAGTATGTGGTCCTTCGCGCGAAGTAGGATCTCGGAAGGCGTGAAGTGAGCTAGGACGTTGGGCCTAACATCGTGCTTTCTGTTCGAGAGCAGCTTGTCCGTGATCTTGACTAAGAAGTTAGTGTCCAAACGGCATTGAAGTATGGTCTGGGTTGCGAATTCTGACATGGTCCATATACTGATTGGAGGGGCAGTTCGAACGTTATTAGTTCTTTCTACCATTCGTTTCAACCCGGCGAATTCCGGCATTCCATTTCTCATATACCACAGCTCCTGGCCATTGGTGACCCGAGCCGTGTTATCGAAGTTGGATGTGGGCCGTCCTTGAGAATGTGGAAAGATCGCCGGGCTGAGAAGGTCACAAAGATGCTCCAAGATGGGAATACGGGGGCAAGAAAACCCAATCTGTTGGAGCATATTGTACATATGCAGCATGTTGGAGAGACATCCGTCCTTGTTAAGCGGCCAGCTACCAACCAACATGTTGCGCGCCGCGATGGTCGCCATGTAGCTCCCAGCGACCCACGGTGATTGTGAGTATAAGTCAAACACCTTCAGGGAACTGAATTTGTCCAGTTGTTTGACGTAGTCCTTCGCCCTGGGGGTCCAACGGTCTAACGACTTGGCCTTGGCCGGATCTTTGCCGGCTTCAAGTAGCTTTAAGATCGCATTCCGGCTGTCGTTTGCGAATGATAAGACTTTAATGCGGCTGTTCGTAATACGCAGATACTCGGTAGGCTTCGGTGGGTTCAAGCTGCTGCGGCAGCTCTCTACGAATAAGTGTACCCCCATGATGAGACTCGTTCGCATTATCATCTTGGGCTTTTGGGCTTCTTTAAGTAGCCATAAGAGAGGGACGCTTAGCGGGAACTGTAGATTGTCCTCGCCATACGAATCCTTCATCCAATCGCTTCTACAACTCAACGAATCCATCATTTCTTCGAAAGGTGAGGCCCACAACGGATGTTGATAGATGCTTCGGAACATAGACCGCACAATGTCTTGATCGTGTTGGTATCGCTTGGTTGCAATGTTCGTGAGCTTTTGGACATGCTCAGCGACAGTATTGGCCTCCTTTGTTGGAAGGTAGGCCAGGATCGAATCAACGAAGTCTTGCTTAAGGGCCTTCTGTTGCGAGTGCGCCTTGAAATAATCTTCGAACTTGCGGCGCTCCACGAGGTTCAAAGACTCATCTTTTGCTCCGATTAGCGCCTCGAATTGACAAATTTCGTTGTATGGCCAGATGAGACCGTAACCGTTAGTTAGATCCTGGAAGAAATCTTGCTCATGGCCTGATCTAAATCCTTCAGGATCTTGCAACCACCTGGGCACAAAGCTGCCTCTTGCTTCTGCCGGGTTGTCTTTTTCATGGAAAAACGACCTCAACAGTGCGTCATGATGATCCGTAACGGGTGATTGTGAACGAATCCATTGGATCAAGTAATTTTGCACCATGTTCGTGAGCGATCCTGCCGCAGCCAGAGATATTTCACCAGCAGAAACGGACTTCCATAAATTCTTGATCGTCTCGATGGTAGTTTGAAGCTCTGTAACGTAGGTATGCAGCGCAACAGCTTCGCCAACGGAGTCGTCGGTGATGGAAGAGTTGGCGGAGTTACTGGGGGCTTCAGCTTGCCAAAAGTCTGATGCGCAGGCGTCGAAATCGGGCTCCTCCTCAACAATATGAGCTAGAGTTTCGAATGAGTTAACGGTGGGTGTCGCTTGCGAAACATTCGTGATTGGCCTCTTCGGTTTGCCCTTTGGTGACTCTGTCGGGAAGAGAATCGAATACGCCTGGGCGAGAGTCTCATTGAAGACCTTGTGACGCGTTGTCGCCGCGATGGTATCAGCCGACGTTGTAGGGAGACGATCATAATACTTGGTGAGCTTGTTACGGTTGACGAGAACGACCTTGAACGCGTCATGAATCGTTTGTGGGGGGTTACGTTTGCTTTTCGAGGCTTTCTTCGCTTTCTCCAGCAGTTGCTTGATGGTAATGGCATTAGCTGCTGATACTGGCGTGGGGCTCCTGTCGAATGATGTAAGCCATTCCAGTACCAAACAGGTTCCGCGCTTGTACGTCTGGTATACGGTAAACAGGGTTGACGGCAGCCGATCGTTGCTGGTGGGAGTTGATGTAGCCATCTTGATCGTTTATCAGCGTACAGGGGATTACGTTCCTTATATTGTAGCCACAAAGCATGAAAGACCAATTTTCGTTCAACTATGGTCGTTTCTACCGCGATCGGTCGAGCTGGATGATGCAACCATGGTTCGCTCCATGAGTCACTCCCAGACACATAGCGCACGACCTTACCTCGCCCAGATCACGGAGGGCGCACATTGCTGTGCGGAACCTCTGTGATGTCTTGAGGTCGCGAGGAGAAGACATCTCACTAAAAGCGCGCAAAACTAGACACAATAAGCCATCGTAGCCGCCTCACTGAAGCGTGATGATGTCGCGCGTAGCTAGCAAAAACGTGCCACCTCGAGGATGCGGGAAGGAGACATCTCACGCGATGCGCGCACAACTGGACACAATATACTATTGTAGACGCCTCGCTGAAGCGTGATGTCGCGGGGATCCAAAATCGACTCGAGGCTGCGAGGCGACGACATCTCACTCGTCGCGCGCAAACCTCGATGCAACAAACCATTGTAGGCGCCCCACTGCACCACGATTTTGCGCATCGACCAAGAACATTGCGGGCGCGATACCATCAGTGCAAAAGCTGAGGTGATGACTGGATGCGACAATTGGGCTATCCGTGGAACGAAGATGACTCCCCAGCCGCGCTAGCCTGCATGCGGACCACCACACGTAGAATGCCATCAGGGACGGAGGTGATGCCAGCAAGCAATGCGCACATACCGTGGCTGGCATGAGCGTGATAGCCATTGGCGGGAAGTAATTCTTGGGGGTGTGCTGTGCGAAGAAGCGGCTCAAAGTGCGCGCAACTGCAGACGTCATCGATAAGAGGGCAGCACCGCCATGACCATCGCAACTGCTCGTTATCAGCAAATGACTGTGATGTTCCATGAAAGATACGAATGCAGCAAGGGCGATAGATGACTCTCGAGGGTGTCCGGATGGAGAAGCCACTCAAATTCCACGCGCACCTAAATAAGTCATCAACGGAAGTGAAGCGCAACCATAGCCAGCAGAACTATTTGATGTCAGCGTATCGCGCAAATCCCATCCTGTCGCTGATCTGAATGTGATAACAGCGAAGGATGGATTCTGAGGGTGCTGTGCGAGGATGCAACTCGGGGTCTTCGCTCCGGCAGACGTCATCGAGGGAAGCACGGACACTATGGAGGAAAGCGCGCCTGTGGGCTCATGTTTAATGGAGTGAATTAACATCTGACATACTCATTAGCTGCTTTCTGGCATGCTTATCAGAGAAAGCAAACCTATACACAAACTCCGCCCAATGCTTAGGCAATCGAAATACCATCTCCAGCACTCAACAACCCAGAGGTCCCAGTCCCTCTCAAAACCCTATTCCCTATCCCGACCCAAACCCCACATTCCTTCTCATTACAACATCCCCTCATCCCTCATCATGACTTCCCGCCCTTCCGTTGCTTAACCCTCGACCCAATACTATCACTTCCACTCGCTTGCAGTCCCGCACCACTTGCCGGCGTGCTCGGCGCCTCCTCGATCCTATCCATATCCTTCTCAACCTCCACATCCTCCTTGATCAACTTCTCCTTCTCCTCCGTCTCCTCATCCGTCGGCGCATACTCGCTGCGGTCATCATCCGCATCCTTGTACACGACAAAGCGGTACGCGATCCTGCAGATGAAGAACCACCAGAAGAGGTTGACGGCCTGCAGCGATGCGAGGAGGGCGAAGGTGATGTATTGACTGATCCAGCACTTGTATTGTTGCGTTTCCCAGTTTAGCTCAAACGGACCGACGGTTTTGAAGGTGGTGAGGATGGAGTAGATGATTTTGAGGTTGATGTAGTGGCGCGTGTAGCCCCAGATGACCATGAAGACGAAGAAGTAGGGGCCGACGATGGGGGAGTCGATGTAGTTGAGGCATTTGGATGTCTAAACGCGTCAGTAAACCAATCTTGGAGTTGGGGGGAATTCCGACTTACAGCCAAGAAGAAATCCGACACATCATGCGTGATGTACACGGCAATCCCCATGTACGTAAAATGAAACCTGTAGCTCAACCAGATCAAGCTGACAGTAATAACATGATGCGCAACCAACTCCTTAAAGTCCTTCCTCGGCTTCTCCAGCATGAGCAACAGCACAATTGCCTGCTGCGCCCAGTAACTCGCTTGAAGGAGATAGTACGCCTTGACAACGGCCTCGTGCGTGCGGTGCGGAAAGCCCTCATACATCCCAATAGGATTGAAGTACCACACCGGCGTGCGACTCATGATCCAGATGCCAAACGGCCCGTACAGCGCAAAGTACAGCGCCGTGTACGCCTGCTCCATGAACCTGCTCTGTTTATCCCTGTTCTTGATCCCAAGCTTTACCGCAATCGGGCGAATGAGTCGCTGCATGCAGAACTCGCGCGTGAAGCTCAGCACGATGATGTAAAAACCGACGAAAGCAAAGTCACGCCCGCCCTTGCCGTAGTGAACTGGGCCATTGGGATCCGCGCGGACGTGGGCGGGGATGAGCGGGTCGTCGCGTGCGAGCGGGTAGGACAGGAAGAGGCAGGCGGACAGCGGGTTTGACTCGTAGGGGTAGACGAGGTAGAGGAACACGATTGTGAGGCCGAGGATGAGCGGCAGCAGCCAGGTATGGCGGATGCATTGGCGCTTGAATTTGGAGAGGTAGCGGCGTGTTGTTCGTCGTTTGGAGCGGCGGGCGGATTTCTCTGGTTTCTACAGGGTCTTGTCAGTGCGTGCCCTGCATACCCTGGATGAGTGTCAAAAAAGCACTCACCGAGTCCATGCTCGTCGGGCTGTTCAGCGGCGGGGTGCTCGTGCGGTGTGTTGCCAACGCTGGGACGTCGACATCGCCAGGTACATCAGAACCCAGCGCACTAGACTTTCTTCTCCGCCTTGCTGCGCCGTGCGTTGCTGTATTGTGTGGCAGTGCGCCGTTGAGGGGAGGAAACGGTTCCGTCATTGTGAGGTTGAGGAGAAGCGGAACGCGGAAGACGGGTCGGTAGGTGCAATACCTTGTCTGTTGTCAAGGGGAGACAAAACACCTCCCAGTATTACGACGTAGACGACGTAGAAGAAGCTCCGAAGAAGAGCCTGCAGCAGAAGATATAAAGCGGCTGAGATATAAAAGCGGATGCGTTGCTTCTCCTTTCTCTGGCTTTCCCGAGGCTCGCCGCAAGTCAGGTCTCGCTGGCTCGACGTCCCAAGCAATTTCCGACCGGTGGAGTGGAGCCCTTGGCTTTCCGTAGCGCGTCGATCTGCTGTGAGCGAATGCCAGGGGTATGTCTTATGTCAGCGGCGTACTCGCTTAAAGCTACTGTTTAGAAATGCTGGAGAGCCGAATGCGATGTGAATGATGCGGAATGCTTTTTAGACCCTGATGGGGGTGAGGCCCGGGCCCCTGCCGCAGTCTGACAGAAAGACAGCAGGAGCGTGCGTCACAGGTGTCGGAACAAGCAATCGAGTACGGGGGTCCACGGGTAGCTACCCGGACCAAAAGCAACGGTGATATGGACGCTTATGTTGCGATTATTAGTGTCTCGATTTTATATGGCTGCTGTCACCTACCAACACAGCTAGACTACATGCCCTATACCGATAAAAATACATTTCCACTAATGCCGCTGCCGCTATGCTGCAGGTCTTAGTCTGCTCCCTGCATGACCATGTGTATGAGTCGGCGCACCGTTTGCTTTTATCTCCAATCTCTTCCCCGCAATCTCAAGGTTCTTCTTCAGTTCAGTAGTGGGTGTGCCAACACTGCTCGCGGTCACTGTGCTGTCCATGCTTCCTTTTCTGGAAAGTACACCATCCTGTCGTAGCAAGCCTTTGATGCCACCCGCCTTCCGCGCTGGAAGCTCGCCCTTTCCAGCGGTAGCGACGTAAAGTAGGTACTTCAGATTCGGTAGTGTGTGGCGGATGTCGACCGGGCGCAGACCGAGAGAGTTGGACAGGATTTCGATGTTCTTGTTGAGGAGGAAGACGCCGTACTCGAAGCGATACCTGACAACATTCTTCATGTAGAGGGGGTAAGTGCGCTGGGGGTTCTGATTGGCCTGCGTGACGGCGAGTGGGTCGTCAATGGTCGATGTCGAGCCGTGGGGCGATATTGGATACGGTAGTATGACGGAGAGATAGGGCGATAGTGAATTAACGACTTGCGCCACGTAGCCCAAAGCTGCCGAAGTAACGTCTGGATTTACCTCGTCGAATTTGGAATTGGGTAAGAGAAGGCCGCGTATCGTGAAGGCAAGCGCTTTGCCCTGAACAGGCTCGATCGGGAAGATCCTGAGGAGATCTTCGCACACCCTTCGCCGTTGGCCAGTGATATCCTCAGCAGCTTTCTCAATGAGTTCCTTACTCTCGGAACACTTTGCTCGTTCTTCATCAAGCGCGGCCTCGGCTTTCACTTGCAACTCCCGCCCGGCCTGCATCTTCTCTCGTCGATATTTGATGTTGGCTTGAAGCTCGTCCCGTCTCCGTCGCGCTGCCACCACCCTTCGCTTCTCAGCAGTCACCGCAGCCTGGACGGTGCGCAGACTTTCCTCCGTCTCGGGGACTGCCTCGACCGTGCAGATATCCTCCTTGTTCGCCGCGAGTATGCCCTCAATCTCGTCGGCGATCCGATCCCGCGTAGTCAGCGCATCCTGGATGCAGTCATCTAGTGTTGATAGTCGCATCAGCGCATCGTACGACGAAGAGGTAAGGGCCTTCCCGTCTGCATTGTTCTTCGGCGGCGCGAGAAGTTCAGGGCGCATTCGCTCCTCTACCGGCAGATCCGTAAAGCTGGTGTAGATTCCGTCCGTCATGTGGAAGAGGATGCAGTTCTGCGGCAGTGGGTGTCTGAAGCTTCCAAGCGTCCTGCCTATGAACTGCAGCGACCTGAACTGTACTGTGTAGTCCATGAGGTACTGCCAATCCTGCATCGCCTCGCTCTTCGCCCACACCCTCACAGTAAGTTTGTCGAGTCGCGTGACACCAGGGCCACAGGGTCCGAGATCGAAAAACTTGAAGTTTGGGTTCATCGCCTTTTCCGCGACCTCGGAGATGTATACCGGGTCGTCCTGGTCCTCCACATGTAAGCTGAAGAAGGTATCCGCCATGCGCCCTGCGGTAATGTCTTCCAGCTTCTTCTGGCGGAACAGCGGAGTCGCATTGGTCCACTCCATAGTCGAGCGCCGTCGCAGTCCCCTTCCATATCCGGGTCTGGTTGCCGTGTTCGGGGTAGGCTCGCGCAAGCCGCCATTGCTGCGCCGCGTGTCCTCGGGAGAGGTGAGGTCGCTCGAAGATCGCGAATGCGCCAGGCCCCTGCTCTCTCGCATCGCCAGCGCCTTGGTGGGCGACTTGAGCGTACTCGGTATAGCTTCATCGTCGATGGTCCGCCCGCGCGACTTTGGGGGTGATAGACTGAGCGTGAGGTTGCGGATGGTGATACCTTGGAGGTGTCTGAGCTTGCGATTCTGGCAGACCATCAGCGACTAAAACCCTTGTATTCTCGACGCGCATACATATGCAAGCAGCCACGGGCGCTCACGTGGTGGAGACTTGGGCTCGGCTGCCTGGGATGCCTCTCCAGCCATTACGTCGCTGATCTGGTGGGTAGGCAGGGGCAGGAGCAGGGTGTCTTCAGATGAAGTTTCATTGGGTCATTATGAGGAGTAGTATCAAGCGCTCGAGCAATCGCAATGACGCAGCGCATAGTAAAGCTTGTAAAGCTTGCTGGGTGAACGCGTGTTTGGAGTTCCCAGTTGTCGTATTGGACCAAGCGGACCTCCGCGGCCTGGCCCGTGCTTTTTGAGACTCGCAACTTTCATCCACCAACGTCGCCGGCGGCCATTGGCATCACCACCCCGCCGCCATGCCTCGATCTCTTGCCCGGCTGCGGTACAAGCCGCCACTACAGCCCATCTCTCTCGCCAGTCCCACCGCCGCCAGCCGTGTCACCCCTCAGCATGTCGCGCATATGCAAAAGCAGATCGCTGCATATGTTGAAAGGCAGTCAAATCCGCAGCACCTCCGCCTGCAGACGGTCGTAAACGAAAAGGCGAGACGACAAGCGACTGCCCAGCACGTAGTTTCGCCGGTCAAGCCCTACACTCTTCGTGACGTGGTGGACCCGGAAGGCACCGCCAAGCACGGCGAGATTATCTACATTTTCCGCAACACCAAGTCGAATCAGATCATCTACTCGCTGCAGGAACTCCTAGATGTATGAACACGTGCCAATTGCTTTGTATTTGCTAATGTTTTAGAACCACCACCTCGAACAACTTCCCTTCATTGGCAAGCACTCGAAGCCGCCCGCCCTACGTCCAGACGAATGGGTTCCCCACTGCGTCCTCACCTTCCCTACCCCCAGCCAAGGCCAGAATGCTTTCCGCAAGCTACGCGAGTTCCGCAGACTGCACGAGACTGCCTGGGACAAGACGAACCCCGAGTTCAAGCGCATGGACAAGAAGACGAGGGTCAGGAAGATCATGGACCAGCGCGCCAACACCAGCGCCGACTTGGCGGAAGTGTTGCGGATACAAGAGGCGCATGGAGCCAAGACGGCGGAAGAGCAGGCAGAGCAGGAGAAGAAGGTATCGACTTTCCTCGACAAGCGATGGGAGCAGATTGACGCCCTGGCGAATGCGGGGCTGGCCAAGGCGAAGCCCACGGATAACGTCAAGTGGCTGCAGGGCCAAATACGGTCCATGGACCACAAGCTGAAGATGAAGCACCACCAGAACGAGGCCGATCAGAAGAGCATAAAGGCTGCCAAGGAGAGCCTCGAGACCCGCCTGGGGAAGCTGCAGTACGCTCTGCGAAAAGCGGAGCAATTCAAGAACCTGCAAGAAGACCTCACCAAGAGAGCAGCGCCCGCCAACGAACTCGGCGCTGAGACGAAGTTGTATGAACTGAAACTCCAAGCCCGCACCCTGCAGGAGGCGCTCGACAACCCCGATCCTACACGTGCCGAAGCAGACCTTGAGCTGGATCGTGAGATTCTCGCAGGTCATCGCGCTGAAATTACCACCCTCGAGCAGGCTTTCGAAGCAAAGGCCCAGCTTAAAAACGGCAACCACTACATCGCCCGCTCCGTCCTGCCCAAAGCCCTCAAGACACCCCCAGTCAAGCCCTACACACTCGAAGGTGTGAGCGTGAGATGGGCCGACATTCAAGACGCCCTCTATGCAGCCGGTAAATGGCCCGCAGCCATCGAACACGAGCCTCTGGAGATCAACAAGGCGCGTGGCGAGACCTTGATGCTTTCTGCCGAGGAGTACGAGGTTGAGAAGCAGAATGAGGTTGGGAGGATTATGGATACGCTGAATCTGAGGGAGGGCGAGTATCTGGAAGAGAAGGATGGGCTGAAGAGCTCGTTGGATAGCCCGGCACTCAAGAGTGGGATTGCCATGTCGATACCGCGGGATGCTTTTAAGAGCGCGACGGTGTAGGATGGGGTGTATAGTATGTAACAAAGTATCTTGTACATGTACCTTTCGATGCTCACACATGCCAGCTTGTCTGTGAGATGCCGACGTTCAAATACGTGCGATTGATGTAGTCACTGCTGCGAGCTCCGTGGCTTCCGTTATGTATTCCCCACCACATCTCGAGAAAGGTCTTCTGGGGACGACTGCTTAGTTGTGACCGCCTGATATGGGGTGCGAGCTGGTTGCAAGATGTAATGTCCACAAGCCCTACGAGACGTTCAACCGCACCATAATCTTCGGTGTACGCGCCCTCTGAGGGCCTGGGCCTCTTGCTAGGCCTCTCGTCACCCTCTTCAGCCTTGTCTTCTTCTGTCGCTCCTCTCGCCTGTTTCTCCTCTTCGTGTCGCATCGCTTCTGCATCCATTTCTCTGAATCGCGTGTAGGGAATATACGGTACCATGCCAAACTGCGGAACGTGCGATGGGATCTCCACCTCGGCTCCCTTGCCGGTTCGTAACGCGGCCATGATCTTGTCTATGACCCTCAGCTTCCGCAGTGCATCAGTGTTGATAATGGCGTCCGAGAAGCTGTTAGCACAGGTCAGCACCCAGACGTGAACAAGCTTTTTTCGGCCGATTCTGACGGCTCTTCGCTCAGCTTACAGCCTATCGAGCGAGTTCCACCCGGGCTGTAAAGTCAAGGTCAGTATATTCGTAGTATCAATATTGTATGAAACCCACTTACTTGGAGAAAGATAACCTGTGATGCCCCGTTGATGGTCAGCCCAGTTCCACCAGCCTTGGCTTGGAAGCCGATGGGCGTCGTCCCATGCGACACCGTCTGCCACTTGTGCAAGAGGTCATCCCTCTCCTTTGTGCTCAAGACACCAGAGGAGACTGGGATTTCAACAGAGTAACGTCGGCAAAAGGCTTTGGCGATGATGATGAGTGCCTTGTAGAATCAACTCTAGATGATTATCTTCTCCTCGGGTGCTTTACCAAGATATTGTCATGAAGCTCCAGGGGCTTGTTGTATCGGGACGTGAAAACGTCATGGTTGCTCATCCTGGCCACGCGATCGAGAAAAATCTGGTGCTTTGTCCTCTTCTTGGTCTTGCCGGTCTCCTTTTCCTGAATGAATGATGCAATTGCGGCCTGCTCATCCTTCCGCTCCTGCTCTTCTTCTTTTTCCTCGATGAATTCGGCTGCATCGTCGTCGGCTACATCGGCCATGTTCACTTGGTCGTGGGCTTCGCTGTGGGCTGAACCGGACCCTGTCATCGCCAACAGGGCCAGCTTCTCTGGTTCCGTCTCCATGAGCCAGATCATCATTTGCTGAGAGAACCTTGCGCTTTGTGTGTCTGTCTCGTCAATGTCGGCCCAACCCGGGAGACATTTAGCCTCATTGCTGTCTTCTTCTCCGAGCTCCATGGCTTTGATCTTGGTGGCGACTACCGCTTCGACAAACATGTTGCGGGCGTTCTTCAGATCGATAGGTCTTTTGTGCGTTGCTGCCTTTTGCTTCTCGGTATATTCCGCGAGAACAGGGAAGCCTGATTCCTGCTCCATCCTCGTACAAAAGCCCATGGCGGACTGCAGATCCTTCTCGTCGACCGCGAGCTCTTCCTTGCTTATCCTGGCAAGCCTAACGAAGCCTCGATGAGCCAGAGAGTCCGCTGCAACCTTGCCTCTGATATCCTGAAGGTCGTCGGCTCCTCGTGTTGTACGCCCTTCAAGTCGAACATAACTCAAGCAGCTTGTTGCACCGGGGCGCGAAGATGGCCTTGCCGCTCATCTTGGCCACTGGATTGAGAAACCGTCGGTACTTGGTGACTTTCTTGTTCTTGACCTTCTCCCTTCTCCTCTTTTTCTGTTTTGATGGTGTCGTACCTACCTTTTGTTCATGTTTTCACTCTTCTTCTTCTTCTTCCTGCTATTAACAGAACTCAGCGACATCATCTATTACTCCACCAGAGAATGACAAGATACTTTGATTACCGCCTGTATGCACGCCACTGCGCGTAGATATGCATCCCGTGTTCCTGTTCAAAGAAGACATTGCTACGTATACTCTCCTTTAGTCAAGGACCAAAGACCGCGTATGCCGCAATAGCTACCTTAATAACACTTTTATAAGGACGCTGACCACATTGTCGACTTCCAAAGGCCTGATATCGGTAGTTTCATCAACGTGCGTGAGATTGTAGCCGTTAGTATGAAGTATGGTTCCTTGCGAGATGCGGTTTCCAGCAGTCGCGCGAAATTTTCACGTGCACACTTCGCTCAAGGCCATATGGGTATACCATGTGTTTTTTGGTAGTATTGTAGAGAACTGACGGCATGAATCGCTGTGCTCTGCCGCATGCAAGCGTCAAGTCGTCAAATATCCTGTGGGATTGGATAGCCCTCATGCGATCGTCAATCTCCGTGTCATCATGCTTCCCAGCGAGCTAGGTTGGAAGGTGATCGTCGCTCATCGTGATGGTCGTCAAATCACCGTCGAATGTTACCGGTGGACTCATCCAGCAGTGTCGCGGAGTCGCGAATCCTCCGCGCGAAGATCAACGCTAATCTCGAAATGCCCACTAGCGGCTTGGTCGCTTACTACGTCACAGCCTTGACCTCCCACGTGTCATCCCGCCTCCAGCTTATCAATCACTGCAATTCCAGCCGGACCGACTCCGCACCACGAGCACCACTATGTCCACATCAAAACCGTTCCCAGCGCTAAATGGCGGCTGCGTCTGCAATACCATCCGCTACAGGCTCCTTACAGCCCCGCTCTACTGCTATGCCTGCCATTGTATGGACTGCCAAAAACAGACGGGTAGCGCCTTCTACCTTAGCCTGAACATCGAACTATACAACATCGAGATCCTATCTCCAACGAAGCCTTCATTTCTGAGTCGAGAGGTCAAACCGGGCCTGGTCGATCGCTATGCCGAGTGTCCGCAATGTCATGTCCAGCTTTGGGCTAGTAACCACCTGGGTGAAGCAGTCGTTGAGCTGAGAGTTGGTACCCTGGACTTCCCGTCGCTCATGGAGCCTGATATACACATTCACGTGGAGAGTAAGCTGGACTGGGTGACTTTGCCGGAAGGCGCGAAGACGGCGCAAAGAGGCCATGATTACAAGACGTCGTGGCCCAAGAGCAGTCTGAAGAGGCTGGATATTTGCCTGAAGAGAGCGGAAGAGGTGAAAAGACGGAGGGCTTCTGCGATGAAGGAGGGTACCCATGGAACGCGCGAAGATGTGGAGACTGCGGATGGTGTCGTGGCAGTGGAGGGAAGTGGAGAGGGCGACAAGACGCCAACAGCAGGAGATGTTGGGGGCGATGAGGATGATGAGGCCGAGGAACAGAGGTTCAGAGAGACTGAGAAGGTGTTGCTGGAGCGGTTAGAGCGATTGAGTCTGAAGCTGCAAAATGAAGAAGGCACAAAGAAAGTGGCGGAGACGTGTCTTGAGGACTCGAAGAAGAGCCCATAACACGGTGCAGAAGATCTCAAGAGCTTCGAGAAACGCGCGCACCCCTCTACTCTTCACTCTATCTCGGTTCTGGTCGATATATGCACTGTATCATCTTTGCAGGTTTAAATGAAAGGTTGCGATGTGTGCGCCTGCCTTCAGGTTGTGCAGCACGTGCGCTTACGTCATGGTACTACCATGTGTCAGCCCTGTGAATCGTCGCGCGCCCACCAACACTAATTTTCGCCTTTTTGTCCTTTCCTACTGCACCTCCACCATGGCGCTTGCGATCCTTTGCGCTGTCCTTTCGCTTCTCGCTACACTGACCTGCGCGTTTACCGACGACCGTCAAGCGGGACTCCAACATGCACCCGATAAGGAGACGCGGATAGCCATCATCGGTGCAGGATTCAGCGGCGCTAGCACAGCGTACCATTTACGCGAGAATGCTCCTCCGGACCAACCACTCTCGATCACGATCTTCGAATCTAGCGAACGTATCGGCGGACGAGTGGCTTCATTCATGGTACCGGATACCCAGAACAGGACCATTCTCGAAACCGGTGCCCTCAGTTTCTTTACGGACGATATATGTATCACGCAAAGCGTTGAGAAGCTCAATTTGACTCTTGTAGACAAGACAACATGCTGGTCGCTCCTGGGATGTCTTCACAGCCCATTAAGAAGAACAGGCATTTGGAACGGCAAGACGATCGCCGGTAGGCCATTACTTGCTTTGCGGCTAAGCGAATGGTTAAATAAGCACGGTCTGCTCTGGCTTGTGAAACCAGTCATTTGGTCCAACAACATGTCCATATGGGATACCTTGCGTCTCCTCCACTGGAACGATTTGAAGCTAGACCCTGAGCTGCAGGCCTCGTGTGAGTTCGCGTCGCCATCAATTTGGAGACGTATCTACATGCGTTACGATTACGGCAGCTCGCCTGGGCTCTTCCGACGAGCAGTCCACACCACGACTGAGAAGTTTCAGCATTTTGGACGTCGGGGTCGCTTCGATAATCTTGCCAACGAATTACAGAGGGTGGGGTTAGACGACGGTACTTCGACACTCTCCGCTGCAAAATATCTGACAGGTCTTGGTATCAGCGAGCGGTACCAGTCGGAGGTCATCGAGCCATGTGTACGCGCGCGCTCCTCTCTTGATCTAACGCAGGTTAGTGCTATGGATGCGATGATGGCTTGCAGAGAGTCAAAGGAAACATCTTTAGTGGGCGGCAACATCCGGCTTGTAGGCGCAATGCTGAACGCCTCGTTAGCGGACTTGCAACTGCGAAGCGAGGTAATTGGCGTTGAACATGGCCAAGATCGGCGCTACAAAGTCTCAATTGCGGATGCATCAGATCTCGCATTAGATGAAGACCGAGAGTTTGATGTAGTCGTGCTGGCGGCCCCCGTTCATCGCAGTCCGCTACTTGACAGCCTCCAACAGCTGGGCTCGCTGCCGAAGAACCTCTTATCATCACCAAGTTATACCTCAACACACGTTACCTACTTCGCTACCGAGCATGCCTTCAAATCGAAATATCTCAACTTGGCCGTTGACGCTGACATCCCTGACCGTCTTCTGAAGACATCCGCGGAGTCCAACCTGATGTCGCTCACCAAGTGGGACGGAATGGGTTTCTACTGGGAAGACCGGTTTTGGCGCAAGAGGCCCTGGATGACACCAAGCAAGCCGGAAGACTATGAGTGTGCGAACGGCAGATTCCATTACGAAAACTTGTATCGTGTTATGACCCGTCGACACGTCTCCGATCGCGAGCTTGCTGCCATGATTGGGAAGAGCTGGGAGGGTGGTCAAAATGCTACCGATGTCGGCTTCAGCTGGGTGCATCGACAAGAATGGAACAAATCGTTCCCGAAATTCGGTGATGAGAGGGATATATTGGAAGATATTGAGGTGATGGAGGGTCTTTTCTGGCTTGGTGGTTCGGATGAGGTCATGTCTTCACTCGAGATGAGTTGTAAAATGGGGAGGAATGTGGCCTCGAAAATCATACACGCGCAGGACCGAGAAACCTCTAGGCGCGCACATGGCGAATTGTAGTTGCGATAGGTCAAAACGCGAGTGGGTATCACGAACACATCGAGTCACAGGCATTGCGCTGGTGTATCCATGTGATGCTTTACCGGCTACGTTGACTTTTTCAAGGCCTAGAGCTCATTACGAGAGGCGATATAGTCCTCACAAATACATAAACTAGGGCGTCACGGGCGCTCCTTTTCCCCCACCCCGGGAGTAGCGCAGTGAGATTGGGAAGTGAAAGAGTAGGAGGGATTCCAAGAGGGACACAACGCACGGCCTATGCCTTCAATGTATATACACAACTTCCCCTCTACCCTCCCCGATCTTAGACCCCTCGAAAAGCCAGTCGCAACACACTCCGATAGTCGCTCGCGAATATGTATTCCGCCAGGGTGGCGATTTTCTTCCTTCTCTGCCTCCTGACATCGCTTATTCAGCCATGTAGTGGTCAGAATGTGGGTATCCAGACTTCTCCGATCTTCAAGGGCTCGAACTGCGATGCTGGTCAAGAGCGCATCATTCGCCAAGCACTTTCAGACGCTGTAAGCAAGGTTTTGATCCAGTTACATGTCGGCTATGCACTAATGTTGTCCTTCCATCTTTAGGTACTTCTTGCCAATGCGGCGTTTGACAATAGCGATGAACTGCTTTCAGTCACGGGTAGTAACAACAAAATTATAAACTTCGACACCCAAGCGGCAATCGAATATTGGGGTCCACCGAGCAAGAACCTTGGATACCGACAGCGCATCTACGATACCTTCTATCGCGGTACGCAAGCGACAAGGGGACGGGGTTGGGCCGACTGGTGGTTTGAACGCTATATCGAAATGCACTGCGATGATCCTAGTGAGCCGAAACAATGCGATGAAACCACTGCTGCTTACTACATGCCTACGACAAGAGGTTCATGGACGTACGATGGGCTCAACTTTTGTCCCGCGTTCTTCACCATCCTCAAAGACCACTCAGAATTGGAGAAGGATATCTTCGCGGACGCGACTGGCCAAAAGAAGCTCAATACGAGGAACATGCGAAGCCGGGGTAAGCTATGACCTCAAATCCCCACCAGTTCCCGCTCGGTGCTTACGAGATATAGCCTGCACCGCTTTCCATGAGTTGCTACATGTGAATGACACGAAGACGGAAATTTGTCAAGGCGGATGTAAGTATTACCGCGTATAGTCATCACTTTCTACGTGCGACTAACACAATTAAGGCCACGATACTGAACAGATGATTGGTGACGAAAAGCCAGTCGCGACGTACAAGTCCGGCCGCGCCAAACTTCTGGCAGCGAGGGACGTGCAAAGTGCCGCATATACCAACGAGAACTACGTTTACTTCGCCGTCGCACGGTACATGCAAAAGACGTTCGGCACCTACCCCCCGTATCCACGTATGTGGAGCGTCACGAAGACGACAGCAGAGAACGAGGCGCTCGAGGACTTTGAACCAGGCGCCCCAAGTCGTCACAACACAGCGTTGGACTTGGAGGATGCCGACCCCAGCCGCGGTACCGGAGAAGCAGTCTCAGACAGGCTCTACGAGATGGCAATCTACCCAGAGTGGTACCAGCCTATTGTTCGGCAAGCCATCACCGAACCCGACTTTGGTAGGCTCGCCTTCTCCCACCCCAATATAGACGACGTTGTTTGCCAGACCACGAGCGAGTCTGCGCAGTACGATGATTGTGTAGCCGCCTTTGCGACGCTGGAGGGTCTCGATCGGAACAAGGTTCAGCTGGTTCACAAGAGGCCCGGCGAGAGGTGGTGGGCGAATGTGGTCACGACGTGTGCGGTTCAAGTCCACTACAAGGGCGACTGGTCAAAGTGCGAGGCTTCGCTGTCGGATGTATGGGCTCACGCTAAGGATGTCTTTGAGGGGTGCCATGGCGAGTATGGGACGGTGGGTGGCTATGTTCCTTTCGGTGTGCCGAATTGTCCTGCGACGATTGATCTCGTGTCCAGTCGTCAGTGGAGCAATCCAGATCCGTTCTAGATGGAGTCGCAGCGGGTCGAAGGTACTGGCACGAAGGTCATGGTGTCGGGATAATTGATAGTCGTATACATGATCGTGAACGTAGGAACAAAGTGTCGCAGGAGATGGTGTTGATGGTACGCGTGTTGTCTTCATGTGGTTCCCGAGGTTCTGGAAGACCAGAGACGTGGCTGCCCGACGTCATAGGGGCTCGCGCTTTCCAATGCTTGGCGTTAGCGCCGCAACGCCAACGGCAGGGCCGACCTCTGCACATCAACACTCGCAACATCCTTCTGACTTGCGACTACACGCCGTGCCCGCTCACGCCCATTCTCGATCTCCCCACCGGAATGACTGTAGTATGCCTCTCACTGTTGCGCTCGATGACACGCGCCTCGACCGAACGACACGCTCCTGCCAGTACAACCATGGCCCATAAGTCCGATGAGGCCGCGCTCGCGTCATGCCCAGGCCGTGCGAACCTGTCGCGTCCAAGCGGGAACACTACAATCATTGACTCATTATCGGGCGCGGTATAAGCCCTGGCCACGTACCTGCGTGACGTGCTGAACCAAGTTGTTGGATGGCGATGATCCGATAAACTATGACTTCTTTCGGAACAAGGAAACGGGTGAGCTCCTCAACTATGACCCGCGGCTTGAACCGGAGAAGCTGGAGAAGAGGGGTGCGAAGCTGGAGTGGTTTTCATTGGTATGAGTTCAACGCCAGGACCGTTGCCCTAGCTGGCGAGGCAATAAACAAGTCACTAATATATTCACACCCTCCATGCTACCAATTGGCTAATAAGATAACACAAGCGATTGTTACGGTAACATCAAACTGCAATGGCCTAATTGTATGAGTTGATGCTAATGATCATAGCATGCCCAGGCGTCATACAGCATACTTGCGCTTCTACGCCAACCCTTCCAATGCACCGTCTATTTGGAACAGCCCTGGAACTCACTTAGCAAGACCGAAGGCGCCCCTTCACCCACACTTGTTACATATACATATACCCTTGCTTGCAACCACACCTAATCCTTTTGGTAGTCTAATTACGTTAACCAAAACAGCCAGGTGAAGGTGAAGGCCAAGGTGACTTCGACCTTGTTGTGGCAGACACTAGTGGTGACGCTAGGGTGCATATAAGCACTCACCTCAACACTCGACTGCTCTCCATCCTCTTCCAATACTAACGTCGCAGAGCACTCAGCACAATATGGAGCCCGTCATCGAACCCCCACACCGCTATGCATTCAGCTTCGCCCTCATTGGCGTCGAGGCACCAGCTCTCCAGGGTCATACACTACTTCGCGTGCAGAATTGGAGCTCGGGCGCAGCAATCAAGGATCGACGGGTTGGCACAACAGCAGAAGCCTCATCAGAAGAGAAGACGATGGCGGACAACGACCAGAAGGATCTAGGTCTTTGGGTCGGGGTTCGACCAGCCAGGGCAGATGTGTTGCGCCAACAAGCTGCGAAGCCTGTTGGTAACGACACCGAGACACAGGCAGCTCTCGCCGTACTCAAGAACATCCCGATCAAAAAGGCTTCATCAGTAGATTCAGTCATGCGCCTCGACAGCCTTCCAATCTGGCCACTGAAGGATGGTATGACACGGGTGGTCGTCCGGTACAACTCTATACAAGCAGATCGTCTGCTATTCTACGAGCTAATCAATCGCGACCCGTTGACCAACGTAAGTTTATTCCGCTTCAATACACGCTGTAATAGACGGTCTAAACGGTTCAATCGCTTACTCTCATCAGCTATGCGAAGCACACCCCATCGAGGCTCAGGACTGCTTCTTCTTCCGTCGGTATCGAGTCGACAAGTTATCCACATGGGTTGACCGTCGAAACAAATGGACTCAGATGATCAAGGAACACCTCGCAGAACACTTCAACACGCCTCTCAAGAACGAAGGCTTCCGCCCTGCAAGGTCACATGCGCGTGTTGAGTTCCCGCTCGAGATCAGCGTGGGCGTCGACCTGCAATCGATGGCCAATGAGTACGCCGTGACGGGCGCCCCTTGGCTGCTGGACGCGATGGAGCGAGCCGTTCTGAGGTCAGAAGAAGACTTCAAGGATGCAGAGATTCCTCAACTTATCGCCATCTACCGTCTCATAGATCTGCACCACGAGTTCGAAGACGGCGACGCGAAAGAGGCTCACCGCTGGCTCACGGTATGTTTCAACCGTAATGCACGGTGTAAACATTGCTAACATTCACAGGACATGTTTCCTGGCCTAGTGAAGACCGGCACATTGACACCCGAGAACGTCTCCAAATACGCAGCATACCTCCGCGACACCGAGACCCGCGTCACTTACGGCGACATCCGCACAGGCTTGGGGGCGTACCTCTGTCTGCTAGATGACAAGACGATTGCTACAGCCACCGACTCTGCGATCGCCAAAGAGATTGCGCTGATGCGCCTTTATATGAATGAGGAAGTCCAGGGACCGCCTCCAAAGTGCACCAAGGTGAACACCAACCTAGAGCACTGGCTCAGCGACCACGTCAGGATGATGCAACGCATCGTGGACGCGCATGCCGACTCTCTCACAGGTATTGTCGACTACCACGGCACAGCCGCATGCCCCGACAACCTAAATGACCTCTGGAAGAACGCCGGAAACTCGCCTGATACCGACGGAGCCAAGTTCTTCGCCTTGCAGGCCAGCCGGTTCTTCGCCAAGGAGATGATCGCAAAGTACGATGTCACGACCAAGAACATCGAGAAATACATCAAGATGTGCAAGCAGACGCTCAAGGACCTTGCTGCCGGGGGCGACGAAGATGCTAAGGAAGAGGAATGAGATGAGGAGATGGGCTGAGATGAATGGTAAAAGAGTGGCGGACGGGGAGTAAGGGTTGACTTTGGGGCAACGACAGTATTGCAGGCTCTATTCGGCTCTGTTTCGAGGGCGATCAGCTAGTGATGGCTGAAGCATTCATCTAGTCGTGCAATGACATGAAGATCAAATTTGACGCACCTCTACCGTTTCCTCATGTTTGCACCGTGTAAATTCTCTATGCTCTGCCAGTGTGTCTTCTCCGCAACGCGAATGTGTATTGGTGTCGTGGAATCACTCACAAACGACGACAAGCAGCATCTTCACTCTCGAAACCACATACATTGTTGTAAGGTCGCTAACAGCTAGTTGACATATATACGAACATGAACGACGGAAAGGACTCTTGTTAGAATACGTCCTTGTTCTGGGTATTCTTCGGATGGTTGAACATCCGATTTACACTAGGGAACCTTAAGCACCGGCACGATACGCTACTCTTAAGCTCTCTGCTTTATTGTAATCGACGAAGATCCATGCCTTACGCTGCTGACAATAACGACAACGTCTCCAGACCTACTGCCGGAACGTATCACTGCTAAGGCTCGCCCTCGCCATGTTCTATGAACATTGCCGTTGAAGGAATCCAGATTCTTATAGTACGCAGACCCAAGCGCTGCCAGAGTGGCATCTCCATGTACCTCGACGGTAAGGGTATCGTCGTCGTTCATCTCGATGTTTCCCTCCTGATCAGCGAGTTGAAGTTCAAGGTACGCTAGGTCTTGTCTGTCTGCGACAAGTTCACCGGACTTCTCGTTGACAATCCTAACTGAAGCAACGTCAGCGGAGCGGAGCGTGGCGCGCGAACGCTCCTGTCCACCAGAGTATGCAACGGCAAGAAGTTCGCCAGGCTCGTAAGCTGTCGAAAATCTAGCGGTGTATCTGTTGGCTTGGTTGCTACTTGCGCGCCCAAGCGAGCGGCCATTCAGGAAAAGTTCTGTTTCTTCTTCCTGAGTGATGACCTCAATGTAAGCCTTCTGACCCTCACAACCCTTCCAGCCCCAGCCCTCGATCGCATCGGAATCTCGCCAGGGCGTCGCCTTGTAATACAAGTCAGAGACGTCCAATGGACGTACCGCAATTACGGGTTGAGACAGGAGTTTCCAGCACGCTTGGGCTACGAAAGCCGAAGCATTGGGCACGCCAGTGATGTCTAAAGCGCCGCAACCCCCTACTAGATGTGGCCATGGCTTGTACAATTTTATAGGGGTAAACCTGCTTGCCTCGTAGTCGTGCACACCAATGCCTACCTCACCAAGGTAGTCCCATCCAGTCCACATGAAGTCTCCTATTAGGTTCGGAATCTTTTCAACGTTGGACCAGTTCCTAGGAAGATCAGGTGGACAGGTTTCGGTACCGAGCATCATCCTTGAAGGGTGTAATTTGGCATCTGATTGGTACCGGATATCTCCATAATTGTAGCCCGCAACATCCATGTACGAATAGAGTCTGCTGGTCACAACATTGGTGTGATTGAACTTTGGGAAGTACCGCATGAATGAAAGGAACATGCTGGCGATGATGTTGAAGAAAGTGCTAGAGGCCAAATCCCCCAGACCGCCTTTGTTATCTGCAGGAGGAGTATTTGGATCCCCCGGCGGGATTTTTGAAAACATCATCAGGGCCAGCGTAAGATTGAGCGCGATAGTGTTAGGTCGGGATGGATCCAGCTTGTGCGTGAGGTCCAGGAGCTTCTTCGCGATCGTGTGTCCGTAGGCGGATTTTGGCTCAGTGATCTCGTTACCCAATGAGTACATAACAACTGAAGGGTGGTTGCGAGCTCGTTCCACAAGAGAAGCAACTTCGTACTCCCAGCGTTCGTTGAAGGTGTTGGAATCGTCATATTTAGACTTTGCCTGGTACCAGTAGTCGGCAAACTCATCCATGACGTACATGCCTACCTCATCACATGCTTGTAGAAGGACTTCTGAGCATGGATGGTGCGACATACGAATAGCGTTGAAGCCATTCTTCTTCATGATCGACACGCGCCGCAGTTCCGCAGCTTTGAACGATGCTGCGCCGAGGATACCGTTGTCTGCGTGTATGCAACCACCACGCAACTTCACAGTCTGGCCATTGACCAGGAATCCATGACCAGGCTTCAACTGCAGAGTGCGCAGACCGTACTTGAACTTATAGAGATCGCCGTTGATGACGACAGTGCAGTCGTAGAGATTCGGAGTCTCAGCGGACCATAGATCTGGGTTCGATAACTCGAAGTTTTGTCTCAGCTCAGACGTTGTCGTTTTTGTTGTCCACTGGATCGCGTTCCTTCCTCCTCTCGAAAGCTCGAAAGATACTTCAACGTCATCCTTCTTTTCGTTGTTGAGTAAGACCTCGAATGTGAGAAGAGCAACTCCACTGGCGGAGAGCGTTGCCAGCCTGATCCCGTCCTTGCAAAGCAGATTGTGGTTTCGAACCATGAGATGAACGCTGCGATGAATTCCGGCTCCAGTGTACCAGCGCGCGTTAGGTTGTTCACTGTTGTCGGCATGTACTTCGATGGTGTTCCTCTCGCCGAGCTTCAGGTAAGAGTCTACGCGAACCTCAAACTTGGTCCAGCCCGCCAGACAACCACCGACTTCTGTGCCGTTCACCAGCACGCGACTGTGCCGGTAAACACCATCAAAACTCAAAGCGACCACTTTGGACTCCAGAGTAGTAGGCGCTTGCCATGTTTTGCGATACTTGTACATTCCGCCAAGATAAAATCCGCCATGAGTTCCAGCGAGGGCGTCCTCCCGCCGCCCTTCTACCTGCATAGCATCGTGAGGAAGGTGTACTTTGCTCCAGCCAGTTTGTCCAGAGCGTTGGAACTCCCAATCTTCGTCGAAAAGTGTCGCTACTTCGGCCATTTTTTGCATCTGCTATGCACTGGAAGTTGAACCAAGGGCATGAAAATTAAAGGTAGGGGCTTAACTTTCTAACACGGGGTCAGCAAAGTTCTTGTAGCGTCAAGCGTACCAAAAACGTACACGGCCCTCCTCGGTGCAATAGTCTGCATCTTGGAAGATGCTTGCGCACAGGTACGTATATCCACCAATGATTTGGTGTTACATAGAAGTTTCCAGCCTTGTAGCCCTGATATTATTGTGCAGAGAATCCATTAGCGCTTACGTCGAAAGTCGGATGCACAGAGGCCGGGTCCGGACGCCTTCTGTAGCTTCGGATGCACAAGGTCCCGAGTCCGGACGCCTTCGCGACTCACAAGCTACCCAGCGCGTGCGCCTATCATGCACTTAGTTAATAACTCGAAGCAAGCGCCTATCGTGTCGCGGCTTTTATGCCGACTCTTAGCAGCTAGCAAAAAATTGTCATATCGCGTAGGCCCAGGCGAAGGAAGGAACCAGATTGCAGCCATTGTGGTGACGCAGAAGCGCCTGCGTATTACAGCACTAATGACGGCTCAACGTCGATACTCATGAGGCTGCAGATGTCGTTGTGGTGGAGAAGCCGTGGTGTTGAACACCGCGATGACGCGCCGCAATTGCTTGGCGTCGGACCGCCGATTGGCCACCATCTCTCAGGTACACACCACACCATCCGACCGCCATTAACACTTCAACGCCATCATCTCGGCAGCCAGCGACTGTACGACAAGTGCGGCCATCTATATTGCAAGCTCATCGTCGTGAGTACGTAGTGATGCTATCATCACCGACGTACGCAGCGCGCGTCGTAGTGCCTCACGTAACGCGACCGCGTCATAGAATCTCTTGCTAATCTCAAGTCAACTAACGTCAGCTCGCACCCTCTCGGTGAAACACTAGGCACTGATTGGGAAGGACATGGGGACGTCTTCATTCACGAAGAGTCGCCTGCTCTACGGCTTACCGAACGGCGCCTTTCCATTGTCGTCTCATTCCGATTCTACATGCCAACGGTACCTTCCCAAACCATCGTGTCCGGCCTACAACGCGAAGCGGAAGTCGGGATGATCATCGCCCAGCGCCTTCGTACTCTGGTCAAGGACCTCCGGCATCTGCAACCTCGCCTCGTCGCGCTTCTTGTTCTCCCTCTTACAACCAAAGAACGTCACCGTCGCAGCTACAACACCGATACAAGCCAGACCGAGACCGGTACTGAACCCTGTGCGAAACACGGGCGCCTCTTTGAACTGCACATTTAGGGGTACGAAGTCAGTATATGTCTCACATGCACTTCGTACAGTCAGAACTTACCAGGAAGACATTCGAGCTAATGAAAGCACCTGCCGTACCGAAGTTGATGATCGCAGCAATAGCCACGGCACGCTTGTACCCAGAATCGCAGTTCATCGAGACCCAGATGATCGAGATCGGCATCGCGAGATAGCATCCAGAGGCAATAAAAAACATGCCCATATACCGCACGGCCGGGTTGGACGGGTGCACAATTTCCACGATGAGACCTGTCGCGAGAACTGCCCAGCCCAGGACGTAAAACAGATACCGGCGCTGTAGCCACTCGCTCATGTACGCGAAGATAACGGAGAAGGCGGCGCCGACAAGATACACAGGGATTGTGTGGACCTGCGCTTGCGTGGCGGTGTAGCCGAGGCCCTTGAGGATGGTAGGTTGGAAGTTGGCGAGAGAGTTTGCATTCTCAGTAACGCCGATGTTCATCAGAACGCTGGTCATGATCAGTTCAGTTATGCGCAAGAAGATGCATGCTACTCACCCAGTCCAGATCTTCCAGTCCTTGAGAAAGTGTAGCGCCTTCTTGAACGATATCTCATCGTCGGCTACATGGCCGCCATCAGCCTGGATGCGTGCGAGCATCAGCGCCTTCTCGTCGGGAGACAGAAACTTGCATTGCTCGGGAAATGGGGGAACGATCGGCCAACAGGCTATGCTGACGAAGATAGTCACACAACCTTCGATGATGAAGATCCTAATTCACGTCAGTAGATGTACGCCAAAGGACTCAACAGTTAACCTACCATCTCCACGCTCCATACCCGGCTGTACCGTCCATGCGAGCGATTAACGAGGAAACGAACCCGTTGATTGCGCCCGCAACAATACCTGCGGTGCAAAAAAAGACGTAGCGCGTCAAGTACTCGCGCTTCGAATAATACGCGCCGATCAAGTATGCCGCTCCCGAGATGTAGGCCGACTCGGCGATGCCTTCCAGCAGACGGCAGACAACGAGCTCCTCCCATCGCTTCACGAGTCCGCATCCGATCACGGTGATGCCCCAGCAGAACATCATTACGCAAAGACTCTTGGGCCCATACTTCTTGAAGGCGATTTGCAATGGGATGCCAGCGACGAGGTAACCCAGGTTAAAAACCCACACGGCGATGTTGAACCTCTGACCGATGAGGTTCAGCTCTGTCTCCATGCCCTGGATCTTTGCATTCCCTATGTTGGCTCTTGGGGGCGAGTTAGCAAGGCATCGCAACGATCAAAGGTCATTCAACCAGACTTACCGGTCGATGAAGTTGACCAAGTAAAGTATCCACAGCACTGGCAAGATCCGAAAGTCGAGCTTCCGGATGAGTCGCCTCTCCGCAGCGCGATCGAAGCCATGCTCGCTCGTTGACTCTGCTGGGGAAACCGATGAGTTGTCGACGTGAACTCCCTTCTCGACGATACTGGCGTCTGCCATTGTGGCAAAGTCTGAGGAAAATGAAGGAGGGGTGTGACAACTGCTGCGAACCTGTTCGAAGGAAACCATCAGCAACAGCTCTCGCTATGCAATGCGGGCAAGGACAAGGTGTGCTGCAGGATATACGAGAGCTTACAAAAATTACGCCCGGTGAACATATATTCTCTGACCACGTCGCACTTTCGCCCTGTTCGAGCTCTGGCTGTCGGGAATACTCTAGGATGAGCACAATAACTTCGATTACGAGTCGCGAAGCCTTCGGTCATGGCCTGATGTGCGGCGTCTTGTTGAGAAGGATCAGCGGGCATTTTGCGCACCTTCACAACGTCTACATCGCGATGCTTGCGATTGGCTGTGGTAGGCGAAAGGATGCGCGGGCATTACACGAAAGAAGTGTCCGACATGGGGTGGATAGGCCATCGCGCGGAATTGAGCCATCTCCGCATCCTTCGCAACCTGGTTATACGAACGATGGATCAACAACCTATCGTTATATGAAGCCGTCGGTGGCGATGCTTCTTTCGAAGCTAGTCTTGCGGTACACCGTTACATTATGAGTTAGCGGGCTCGGTATGAGAGTTCAGATCCACAACGGCGCCTTCGGCGGGGAAGAGGCAACCCCACCACAGCGGCCCGCGTCAAATCTCTAACAGCGCTGCAGGCTCTCTCGGCGCATGCAGAACCTATTCCTTCACCAAGCAAATACATCGTCGGGAATGCCTTATATCATCATTACGATATTGACAAAGTCCAGTGTTGGTAATGAACGGTAGAAAGCGGCAGTTCACTGGATGGTAAGCATGCCGCAGCACAACTGTTGATCTACCTTTCTCCTCACCTTCATTGCCGCACAAGTAGTTAGCGCATCCGTCTTTAACCAGGCGATACCCCGGTGTTAACGCAAAGCAAGCTTCGCCGTGCCGCGTCTCCATTGCACTGATTTACCACGAGCTTGCCCCACATCACATGTGGGTTATCTTACCACCGAGCAGCTGGAATTGTACTTCAAAGTATCATTTTGGAAGTGAAAGCTAGCTCGCATCAGGTGCAAAGTATGTTGTCAGAGACGTTCACCACAGTCACTATATCTTAGCTATTTTCTTGTGTGCTTCTTCGCTGTCAAATCTGGAACCACACCAGCCCATTACCGTCATGGATGAACGAGACTCCATGAGCATCGCGATCGTTGGCGGCGGCATCGCTGGCCTCACGTTGACAATTGCACTTCTCACGAAATGTCCACACATCAGTGTCACCCTATACGAGTCCGCCGAAGCCTTTGGCGAGATAGGCGCAGGTGTCGGTTTCTCCCCGGTTATGGTTCGCACAATGGCCCTCATCGATCCACGCGTCGCGGAAGCGTTCGTCAAATGTAGCAAAGGCAACACAGTCACCGACCCACCGAACTGGTTCCATGTGAGGGTTGGAGATGAGAGAAAGAAGAATGTCAAGCTAGGGGAAGAGATCTTCGTTATACCAGGGAGGAAGGGACCGGGAGGGGGCGTGCACAGAGCTCACTTCCTCGATGAGTTGGTGAAGCTGGTACCGGAAGGAGTCGCGCAATTCAAGAAGAGGGTACTTGAGATTACTGAAGCAGACGAGGGCTCTGGCGATGCGGTCTTGCACTTTACCGACGGGTCTACTGCGCAGCACAGTGCGGTGCTTGGATGCGACGGGATCAAGTCGCGCGTGAGATCTATCGTGCTAGGCGACTCAGAGACAGCGAAGGCGGTCTTCTCAGGAAAGTATGCGTATCGGGGGCTGCTCCCCATGTCGGAGGCGGTTGAGATTTTGGACAATGAGACACCAAGAACGCCGCAGATGTATATGGGCTACCATGGGCACGTCCTTACGTTTCCCATTGCGAACGGTACGCTGTTCAACGGTATGACAACTCCGCTCATTCATCGATTTAGCTAACAGACCTCCAGTCGTCGCTTTCTCCTCGCGACCCACATGGGAAGACGATAATTGGGTGGTCCAAACATCACGCGAGGACATGCTCGAAGACTACAAAGACTGGATCCCCGCCGTGCGCAAAATCATGGAGAACATCCGGAAGCCCGATATCTGGGCGCTCTTCAACCACCCACCTACATCAACATACTATAGCACGAAGCCACTGATCTGCCTGGTGGGCGACGCGGCTCATGCATCGACACCGCATCAAGGCGCAGGTGCAGGGATGTGTATCGAAGATGTGTACATTCTGAGCGAGTTGCTATCGCAGTGTCATGCGAAGACCGGTCTCGATAAAGTCTTCGACGCATACGACTCGGTAAGAAGGCCGCGCAGCCAAAAGCTGGTCAAAACGAGCAAGGAAGCCGGTATGCTGTGGGAGTTCGAAGGAGAAGGTGTAGCCGACGATTTGGAAGCGCTGCGGATTAATGCGCAGTCGAGGATGGCTTGGATTTGGGATCATGAGATATCGAGTGACCTGGAGAAAGCGAGACGCATGATGCAGGGTGGCTTGCCAGACACGCCATAGCCGGGGATGCTGAGGTCACCAAGACACGACAATGCTCGACACCTACCTATCAAGAACGACAGGAGTCAATGATCCAGAAGTCTACAACGCGTTGAGATCAAACGAACCGTTCATTTTGGTACTAACGTGGCCGGCAGCGCGCTTCCTCGATGTCTCCTTTTGCGTGGGATGCGGAGGTGTCGCAATACCCGAAGACATGCATCTTCGCAGCCACACCGTCCAGGCTCCAGCGCGTTTCGCTTCATGTTCCGTTTTCCAAATGATCTGGTCCAACGGTAGCCGGTTATCGCTTTGCAACCAGAAACGGATGTCGTTCCAGGAAGCCGCTGGGATCGACTGTGCCGCACAGCCTCGCTACCACACTACTTCATAACTTACCCCACGCTCGACAGAAGACGATTCATGAAATCACAGGCGCGCAGCCTCGCTCCTACGCAACAAAGAACCTGGTATGCTACACTGCGCCTAGCGTTCGTCCAGTGAGAGACGGAGAGGTTGCAGCCTGGCCAGCTACTCCGTCTCAGAAGCGTCGAACACAGCCATGATCTTCCAGATTCAGCAGGCGCAAGCGGAGGTATGTCAGTGTCCGGAGAGGCGCTGTGAGCGTCAAGGAAGACGGCGCTGGTGAGTATATCTAGACTTGGGCGACACCATCCAGCGTTAGAACTCCACATCATCACGACTTTACATTCCATACCATTGCGCATTTGCCCCATACATACTCTTTGAAGCATGCCTGTCTCCACATCTAATCCTAGAGCCGTCGTTGGCGATGCGTCTGGCCGCCGCTGGGACCCGGAAGCGGTGCTCAAGCTCTCCCTCGACGGCCGCTGCGTTGGATGGGCGCCCTCACGTGGTCGAAAGTACCGCATGCCCATACGTCAAGACAACGCACACAGGGTCGAAATGTTGGTGGTTGATTTGGCGAACCAAAGTCCAGACCCTGAGCGACTCCGGCCAAAACTTCAGCGCCTTGCTGAGCATGGCTTGTGTGTTCGTTTCCATCAATACCAAGTCGACGAGATGCTAGACCGTTGGATAAAGCGGTTGTGGGAGGCGTTCCCTAGGCATGAGCGAGTAGACGAAGGGGTCGACGCGACGTCGGAGCGGGTGAGGCAGCGGCCTGGATCTGCGAACAGTAAGTGTTCCTCTGCCCACCATACAGCGAAGCCATCTGACAATGTCTCAGTCGTCGCAACATCGGAGGCAGAGCTTGCTGCACGTGCAGAGGTCGCTGCGCTACAAGAATCGCTTCGTGATGTCAATCGCCGCCTCGAGGAGCTTACGGCTCGTCAAGCTGCACACCAAAGCATGGCGCAGTTGGAGTCTCGTGTTTCTCGTCTAACGAGATCGATCGATCCGCCTTTGTCGTCTTCGCAGCCGCCGGATATCCTCTCGAATCTGCGCATCCGAAGGAGCTTCGCACCGATTCGCCCTGTTCTCACCGCAGGGTCGGATCGAGTAAGAAGCCCAACGACTGCAGGCACGCGACCGCCGTCTAGCGACTCGTCCAGCGATTCGTCCAGCGATTCGTCCAGCGATTCGTCCAGCGAGGCATCGAGCCCGACGGTGCCGCACCCACCCTATATGATGCGGAGGCTAGCACGACATGCGCGAAGACCAACAGCGGCCGTCAGAGAAGCTTTGTCCAGCGCATCGTCCAGCGAGTCGTCCGGCGAGGTACCGGGCCAAACGTTCAGCGAAACATCCAACGAGGCCTTAAGCGTGACTGTGCCGCAGGTATCACCAGGCTTCACGACCTCAACACCCCGTTGTGCGCGTTCGCATGCCCGCCGTCTGCCCTTCGACGATGAATGCCCCATATGTCAAGAAGGCGACCTTCTGTCCCAGTACGATCGGTCGGAGGTTGTGTGGTGTGAGTCCACATGCGGAAGGACTCTCCATAAAACGTGCTTCGAGGATTGGCGTAGGCAATGCGTAATCGACCACCGGGACTTCACGTGTCCTGTGTGTCGCGGTGACTGGGAAGAGCGCTCATGCGAAGCGTGTGACCTGATGCAGGTGCGCAGGCAAAAGATCGAAGGGGATTGCGCTATCTGTTGCCATGCGATGAAAGGAGACGCGCCGGAGGGCAGGGAAGACCTCGTGTGGTGTAAGAATTCGTGCGGGCAAAACGTCCACCGCGAGTGCTTCAATAGCTGGAAAGAGCATTGCGATGCTGTTGGAGGAAAAGTCGCGACTTGCGTGCATTGTAGGACGTCGTGGCGGCGTGAGGAGTGTGATGGCTGAGGAGCAAGGGATGTGCGAGCGTGGAGGTTCGGTCTTACCGTCGGAATGGCTTTCCGATCGGAGCAAGCACCTCGCATCTTCATCTGATGGGCCTACCTCGCGCCTGCCCCGAACGTGTATTTTAGAGCTCGAATCAAAGCGAACGTCCCACCTAAGCAGTCACCATCCTCGAAATTTGACTACGTACAGCTCCATGAAGGGAAGCCGTGCCCACGTACTCTCGCGCTGTCATCCCATGCGGGCCAAGTCCCGCAAAGCTAGGCACCAGCCGCCTGCTTCACACCACGCTCTTCGCGACATCATCGTCCGACCACATCAAGCCAGGAAACGACTGAACACCCTGGAGTCTACATCAACGTTGCGTCACCCACTTTGCATGTTCTCGTGTTGACGTAGTCTGCAATGGCACTCTGTAATACATGCAAGGCCTTGCCCATCCGCAGCATCCTCAGACTTGCCCGGGGCGACAGCGACGTCGACGAGTTTCAGCGGTTCCCATTACCCAAATCCTACGGAAATGAAACGTCACCATTCATCAAATGGCACAACAGCCTTTCTGATTTGCAGAAAAGTGCAAGCCAATTGTGCACATTCTGCCACTCCATCTTCAGTCGTCTTAGTAACAGCTACCACTATCACACCAATTGCAAAGATCTCGACGAGAAATTATGGCTAGAGTTGGGCGTGGGCTCGGCCAGGTTGAGTGTTTACATGGGCGAAAAGATGCCAACAGTATGTCTCAGTGGCAAGTTCTGGTACATGTCAACACCAGATAGTGCCGTCGCCGACTGCTTCAGGGAGCATGAGATCATTTCGGACTCTTTACATCCACATGTGCTTCAAAAAACGTCAGCATGGGTCGACCAGTGCGACAACCACCATGAGAGCTGCCGACAATCGACGCAAGAAGCGACCTTGCTACCCACGCGCCTCTTGGACCTCGGCTCACTGCCTACAGGCGCAGACTTCCAAGGCATCCGCGGTGATCCACGGACTCTACTCGAAAACAAATCGCTGAAGCTTGTAGAGCTCTCCCCAGGCAGCACAGGCCGGTACATCGCCTTGAGCTATTGTTGGGGGAAAGGGCTGTTTTTTACGACTACCTCGAAGAACCTGCAAAGGCACAAGGAGAACGATGGAATCAAGTACAAGCAACTACCCTCGACCCTCCGAGATGCCGTCTTCCTTACCAGATATCTGGGCGTTCGATACCTGTGGGCAGACTGCCTCTGCATCGTACAAGACGACAAAGCAGACTGGGAGAAAGAAGCCTCTCGAATGGATGATGTGTACACCAACGCGTACCTCACAATCGCTGCTACGCGTGCCAGCCATTGTGGGCAAGGCTTTTTGCAAGCGCGCAAAGCGAAAGACAGACACGTCGTCACTTTTAGAGATGAAGAAGGGTCATTCGACGTTTATGTTTATTATGACGATCTGACTATGTCTCCCGGCTCCATGGAGTCTATCATCGATCAGTCGATCAAGATGCGAAGAGTAAGTTTCAATCCCCCAAGTCGACCTAGGAAACGATGAATCCTCGGGAGCCTACATCGACGTTCGGTCGAATACATTCCATGCCTTCATGTTGATGTAGTCCCCAGACCCCCTCCTTCTGCGCCAAATCATCTCAAGCTAACGCTGCTTAGGAAGAGCCTCTCTTGAGCCGTGTCTGGGTCCTCCAGGAACGTGTCCTGGCACGCCGCACGGTACACTTCGCGAGCTACCAAATGCAATGGGAGTGCTCAGAGCAAGTCCTTACCGAAGACGGATACATCGAAGACTATAAAGCATGTGAAGAGATCTCGCTGGAACGGATCGCCCAGGGACTCAAGAGCATGAAGGACGCGCCAGTGCTCCGAGACACTCAACGATCTCAGAACGCAGAGGTCACTTGGAGGTTCAACCCGGCATGGCGCGTATGGTCGCGCTTGATCGAAGAGTACACGTCTCGCAACATGACCTTTCAAACCGACAAACTACCCGCACTTTCTGGTGTCATATCGGCGCTACAGAAGCTCACTGGCGACGTCTGCCTTGCCGGTATCTGGAAAAGCTGGTTCCTTCAAGGCCTACTTTGGCGCCTGCAGATACCCGACTGGGACGAATACGTCTTCTTTCCCAAGATGCCACAGCGAACCGACGCTTGGAGAGCTCCGTCATGGTCATTTGCGTCTGTTGAAGGCGTCGTAGTCTATAATGCGCTTGACCACGATCCTGGCCGGGAGACATGCGCGGAACTGCTGGAATGCGACGTTTGCCCCAAGGGAGTCAATCCACTCGGAGAATTAACCACGGGATTTGCGAAGATCAAGGCACCGGTCGCTTCAGTGTTCGATGTATCGCCCGAGGTAGAAGAGACCGGAAGAGGATGTAAAGTCCGCATGACGAACGGCAGACTTGCAGAAGGTAGTGCATAGTACGTAATTAAATTTATTAAGTATTTGTTGCAAGTAACAGTATATATATATAAGAATAAGTATAAGGTATAAAGCTTCTATAGTCTACTTATAATTAAGTAAATTAAATAATTATAAAGGCTTAGCGCGCTAAGCTTTTAAGCTAATATTTTAATATTTTTAATTTTTTTTACTAAAAATTACTTTAGTACTATAATTTATTAATATAATACTTATTTATAAATATTTATTAAGTATAAGTTAGTACTAAAAGTATATAAGTATATACTAAGTATAATAAATATAAGTTTTTAAAAGTATTCTTTTATTCTTTAATACTTACTTTACCTACTATATTAGTAAGTACTTCTTTATTTTTACTACTACTACTATATATTACTAACTAAATAAATATTTATATACTTTAATAGCTATAAAACTCTTTTTTTAAGTTAAATTTTTAATAACTTTAACTTATTATTTACTTCTACTTTTTTTTTTAATAATAAGTTACTTTTTTTATAGCTATAGTATAAAATTAAAAAACTTTATAGCTATAATATTAGTAGTAACTTAGCTTTAGTATTTAAAAAAAATATTACTAGTATTAAATAAAAGATAAGTACTAATAATATAGTTATAGTATAAGTTAATATTAAGAAAGCTAGTATTATTTTATATACTAGCTAGTATATTCTTTTATAAGTTTTTTACTTTTACTAAAGTAATAATAAAAAAAGTATATTAGAGAAAGTTATTAAGTATTAAATTAATACTTTTACTAAGTTTTAATAAAAATAAAGTATAAAAAAAATTATAAGTAAAAAAAATATAAACTTTATAAAAAAGCTATTTAAAAAAGAAAATAAGGCTTAAATAGCTAAAGTACTATATTAGTATACTTAAGTTATAAGTATAAAAATAAGTAAATAGTGTATATTATACTAAAATAAGTAAAAAAATATTAGTAAAGTATAGTTAGTTATTAATTAAAATACTATTAAATAAGTGTTAATTTGTTCTCTAGAGTTCCTCTTAACTAGGCGCTACTACTGTAGTGTATAGTACAACGTTGAAGTGCATAACTCTTGTTAAGTACTTATAATTACGCCTTATACGGGCATTGCTATCGTACTATTCGATAAAGGGACCTACACAAGAGTCGGAGTGGTCACGGTGTTCAATATCCATGACCCCACGAAGGAAGCCTCGAAGCGCGACGACACGGCTTTCATGAGTCGCGACACGTCAATTTCGTTGTCTCACTACCCAAGTCCGGAGACCATCACCCTGCTGTAAGGCTCGGGGGCCAAGAAGGTTGGTCTGTTAATGAACTGGAAATTAGAGGTCGTTGGTATGTTGCAGGAGTAGCTCCTTTTTAGTGAGGTCAATCAAGTCGACATGTTCAACAACAGCGCGACTCACGATCACTGGGCTAGACGAGGCATAGCATGAGAGAGTCTGTCTACATTATCATTCACTGTCTAGCCACTTCGAAGTGCTCACCCAGTACGATATCAACAGCCTGTTCGGCAATTGCGTAGACTGGTACCTGGTAATGAGCCGCAAGAGGCTTTGGAATGACACTCGCATCAGCGACACGCAAGTTCTTGACCCCAGACACCCTCAGCGATCCATCAACAACGGTCCCCATCGCTGCTGTCCCTGCAGGATGATATGTGGTACTCGCGCCCATCTTGAGTCTCGCGTCGATCTCTTCGTCCGATATCCCCAGATAGCCTGGCGGAATGTGTTCACATTCGACAAGCATCTTACCCTCGGCTGTATCCAACATCAGCTCGGATTGCATACGGAAACCCTCACGCAAGACGTAGCGATCTGCTTCCGTGGCGCAGTAGTTTGGGTCGATGATGGGATTCGCGGACGGGTCAGACGATGCAAGCGTCACCGAGCCCCGCGACGTCGGAAGACAGCCCATGAAAAAGGTCATGATGGATGATCCGTCAATCGGGATACTAAGACCTTGCGCTTCTGCTCCGACGGCAATGTACATGAGCAGCATCTCGAGGTGAGTGCGTGGGCCCTTGAGTAGTGCGTGGTCATCAGATACCGGGCCCTCATCGCGCTCGATGGCTGCCTTCAGTGTCCCGACTTGGTGTATAGGCGCGCGAACCAAGAAGTCTACCGGCCCCCCTCTGTCGTAATTTGGACCACCGAAGAGCGGCGAGCCGATCGCTAGACCCTTCTCTGGGTTTCGCAGCTTCCAATAACGGTACATCATCAGATGATCATGCAGATTCTGGCCGACGGCTGGTAGGTTGGACACAACTGGAATGTTGTGCTGCGATAGCTGGGAAGGCTCTCCAATGCCAGAGAGCATTAAGACTTGAGGCGTTCGGTAGGCGCCCGCGGATATGACGACTTGGCCGCCTTCGTTGAGATCAATGCGTTCGCCATCTGTGAGCTCTACGCCGACTGCCGTATTCGTATCGTCGAATAGCACGCGCCCGACGATGGTTGATGTGCGCACTTGGACACCGTGCAGCGGGTATACGGAGTGCGCCATCTGCCGTTTGCCGTCCTGGAAGTTCTCAACGAGATCGCTGATGCCTTGAGGACGACCGTCATTCAGGTCATGAATATGTGGTATGTCGAGGTTCGACCAAAGCTTACGGACGGTTTCGCGCAATGGGTATATACGGCCCGTAGAGGTGACAGATGCCGTGTGCATCGGACCGTCGTGCCCATGCTGCGAGGGATCCGCATCGGGGTCGAAGTGCCTTTCCGTGCGCTTGAAGTATGGCAATAGGCCGTCGTAGCTCCATCGCGGATCGTCAACATCGCGTGCCCACTCATCGTAGTCCTGCGCATCGCCTCGAATCCATCCACCTAATACAATCAGCTAATCGCGCGCACCTGCAGTCACCATATATACCGTTGTTGATAACGCTGCCGCCGCCAAGGCCTCTAAAGCCTACATTTCGCTTGGGCTTCCCATCGAGATGCTCTTGAGGTGTTGTAAAGTAGTTGTAGTCGTATTGGGAGAAGTGGAGGTTCGCGGCCGCGGCTGGTATGGTGACATGTGGATTCCCAGTAGGATCGGGACCGGCTTCAATGAGTACAATGGATAGCGATGGCTTCCTCTCGTGCAGACGCGAAGCGACCACGGTGCCAGCAATTCCGCCGCCGACGATAATAACGTCGGCCATTGCAGACTCAGCTTGTCCACAGTGCGAGGAAGCGGGTCGGATATGCCACTGGATCAGCTATATGTACGGTGTAGCTCGCATCATAGCACTTGAAGTAGGCGGGGCGTATGGGCGTATGCAGTCAGCCGCTGCGATCCAATCATACATTCCGCCGTCACAGCGTAGTCCACACCAATGTGCATGACAGCCAAGAGACATTGGTCAGCCGATCCATCGGTATCTTCTAACAGCCTGTTATCATATCCATCGTCCTTCCTTGTCCGCGGCTTCGGCCGGTACTACGATGTTGTGTAGGAGGATCGGCCGGTCAGGTACGCTGAGACCAAAGACGGGACGTGTGTATCGCGGAGGGCGGTGAAGTGTCGGTACACGAGACATCGCGTGATGTGAAGTATAGGACTTTGCTCGCATGTGCCGCTTCGAAGTTGATTGCCCTTACTATGTGTTCACAAAGTCAGCAAACAGCTGAGCAATAAGAGTGAGTGTCTTGAGCTGGAACGACGTGTCAGCGTCCCACGCGCGGGCAGCGGATACCATGCCGTCGATGTTTTACTGGTAATTGCACGACTTCCTCTGCGGCCTGGTCCAATAGTGTCCATGTTGGCAAGGGGGCTTAAGTTGCTGTGCGGTAGAGGTACCAGGTGTGCTATCGGAATTATGCCTGAGGCAACCGCAAGATCCCTATTGCTCTGGCTGAAGGTTTGAATCGCGTCGGAGTAACATTGTGGAAGCCGTGTGCCGTCTCAGGTCTGGGTGGCATTGACATGCAGGGCGACTGTGTTCGTGTTGAGAGCGACACAATGTTTGACTAGCCGGATGACGCATCGGAGCTACATAACGCCGCGCCGCGTGTTCTGCCAGGCACACGCTACCCCGTCAACACCTCATCTTCATCCCCCCATCCAGCTCCTCTTCAAGGAGAACGACGATCGAGTATCCATAATAGCTGTCGGTACCTTCACAAAATAACGCTGTGGTCGAGTGTTCATGCGCGTGACGTTCGCGTCCTCAACTTGCGCAGTCGGGAACGCGACCCAGGCTTGAGCTCCGACGATACCGCGTAGCGCATGCTTCGCTCGGTACACTCTCGATATCGAATACAAAGCCCGCTGCGTACTTCGCTGTCTCGAAAACGCAGCTTGTCCGCAAGAATGTCCCGATACAAAGTCCGGCTCAGAACGACGTCCATTCTCTTCTAGGTTTCACCAGGTTTAAAGTCCATCAAAGCGGGTATCAAGGGCGTGCAGGGCATCACGCACGTTGCAGCCAACGCCAATCCCCCTCCCAAGCTTCCTGAGAGCTATGGGCTTAGACAACGTCGCATGGGTCCCGTAAACTGCAGCCGCGTCATTGCGATTATGTTCAGGCTCGACCGTGAGTAGCAATATACGCCGTACACTCGATACGGACCACCGACCATGATCCATGACAGACCCACATGGCCGCGGCAGTGCTGGTGCTGGGTCGGTGAAACGTGAACGGATCTTCCCGAGCCCATATTCGGATTTCGATGGCGCTAAACTAGAACGCTGGTTAGTCAGCGTATCCGTATTCAACGCTTCAAGACCCTCTCGCCGCTATCCGTATTCCCGCCTCCACGTATTTCTTTTCATCGTCCTTTCGCCAATTACGTCGCATTCGCCAAAGTCCGCCATGGCTCCGCGTAAGGTTCTGAGAAGATCGCATCGCAAATCTAGGAACGGTTGTCAAGAGTGCAAGAGACGCCACATCAAGGTACGCGACGGCATCGTGAGCGCGGGTACCTGCATCTGCTCGCGTAGCATTAGGGAATAAACCATACTGATCGTTCTAGTGCGATGAGGCGCAGCCCACGTGCGAGAATTGCGCGCG